ATTCGTAACCACTACGCTACCAGAGCTCCTTATGGTAAAGAGTTACAGCCACAGAAAACCTGAACTGAAGTTCCCATCTGGCCTATAGGGTTGCTGTGAAATGTATCCGGATAGATACAATCTTATTTGGAATTAAGGTTTTCTTTGTTGTGCTCATGGTACCATATTGGTGTGGGATGTGTCTTAAACCCAATCATGGCTGAGTTATTAAAAGAACAGATTAGACATAGAAGTATGAACAAATAGGGCAGGAGTAGACTACATATCACCTGAAAATTGCCAAGAAACCAAGGAATACTGGAGGTACACAACGGAAATGCGTGAGGATCAAGGACCATCCCTCAGAGCCCACAGACAGAAAGCTTTCTCCTAGAGGCTGTACTGAATTTGGACTTCCAGCCTTCTAAACTATGAGAAAATGAATGGTGTTCCTTAATGCTCTCACTTGTGGTATTTCTGTAACAGAAGCACAAGAGAACTAAGATCTGGTGGACCCTGAAAGGGTCTCAGGGACCCTCAAGTGTTCATGGCATGAGCTTTGAACTACTGAGCTTCGGAAGACCACATTTCTCAGAGCAGAAACCTAACTTGTGTTTCCTAGTTCCTACCCTGAGAATTGTCAGCCAGACACCTGAGTCTTCTCTGAGAAGCAGCTTTATGGAGATGTTGTGTCTCCATGATTCTCTGAAGTAGGAATTTAAGTCTTCTCCCATCCTGAGCACTCCCACCTGGGACCTGCCCAGCTTGGTGTCAAGCGCAGTGCCATCCCTTGATACCTAAACTGACCCTAAGTAATGAAAGTCATAAGACTACATTTGGAGAACTCTGAAGAAGAATTCATCCATGATCTCACCACCTAGGCAGTGACTGTTATACTGTGGCCTAGGGTAGCCTCAAACTGTGTTGACTAATCCTGAATTTATCACTGATGAAAATCCCCAAGGCTTTATTTTTGTTATACTTCTGCAAAACCATGTCACTCTGGCCCTTTCCTGTTAAGTTTAGGGGCCCCAGTAAGATCTGACATTCAGATTTGTCCACTTCATTTACATAGAGTTGCCTTGTCAACATCTCTTATGGTGTCAAGTTCATTGGTCCAGGTTTTCCCTTGCAAATCCAGCTTCATGCAATCTGTAAATGGGGTCACCCTCATGCATGTCAATGGGATCTACCAGATATTCTCCTACAGGTATCTGAATCTTGGATTCTAACTTTCAATGGTGAAACAAGGTGTTTGCCACATCTGCCCATGGCCTAGTGACCCTGCCAAGAGAGGACGGCACTGAGTCTGATGTGAATTGCATTTGTTATTGTTGGATGCCATCAAGTAAGTTGCAACTCATAGTGACCCTACACACAACAGAGTGAAACACTGCCTGGTCCCACACCATCCTCACAATTGTTGTTATATTTGAGCCCATTGTCACTGCCTCTGTGTCAATTCATCTCGTTGGGGATCATCCTTAGTCCTCAAAATGATATCCTTGCTCATTAGCACTTTAAAGAGGTCTTTGCCTAATGCAATCTAGTCAATGCTAAGGATTGTGACTCTCTCCAGCCTGGAGACAGGTGACGCAACTGGAGCATCTGATCTCGGTTCTAGTCTCTGCTCAGCTTCAGCTCCTCTGACCACCTCATCCATAGCACGTTGTCCCAGGCTTTGTTGTTGTTAAGTGAGGTTGAGTTGGTGGTCCTTCTTAGTGCCCCCATGCACAACAGAATGAAACACTGTCCAGTCCTGTGCCGGCCTCACAATCGTACCGATATTTGGACCCATTGTTGGAATCAATGTGTTAATCCATCTCACTGAGGGTCTTCCTCTTTTTCGGTGACCTTTACCAATCACAATGCCCTTCTCCAGAGACTGGTCCCTCCTGACAACATGTCTAAAGACAAAGTCTCACCATCTTCACTTCTAGGGAACATTTATTTCTTCCAGTTGAACTTCTTCCAAGGCAAATTTGTTAATTCTTCTGGCATTCCATGATATATTTAGTATTCTTCACCAACACTGTAATTCCAACACATCAATCCTTTAGTTCTCCTTACTCGTTGTTCAGTCGGCAGATGCCTATGAAGTCATTGGAAACATTGTGGTTTGGGTCAACCTCACTTTCCTCCTCAAAGTGACATCTTTGCTCTTTACATTTTGTTGGTGGTAGTTTTGTGCTGTGGAGGTAGTTCCATCTCATAGTGACCCTGGGGTTTCTGAGTCTATAAATCTTTACGGGAGCAGAAATCGTCATCTTTTTCCTGCAGAACAGCTGGTAGTTTCAAACTGTTGTCCTTGAGGTTGGCAGCCCCCCGACTTGTAACCTCTATCATTGCCAGAACTTTAACACTTTAAAGCAGTAGATTTGCCCAGGGCAATGCATTGTTTGACTTCTTAACTGCTGCTTCCAGGGATATTGATTATGGATCCAAGCAAAATGAAATCTTTAACAACTTCAATCTTTCCTGTTTTCATGATGTTACTATCAGTCTGGTTGTGAGGATTTTTATTCTCTTTACATTAAAGTGAAATCCTCACTGAAGCCTGTGATTGTTGTCCCTGCCTACGAGGACTGACATGGAACCCCATGAAGAGCTCTGCCTTATATCTGCATGGCTTTCTTACTTGAGATAGAGTCCGAAGACCCATTTTGAAGATATTTACAGCATTTGCAAGACTCAATTTTAGTCTTTCTGATTCTTCCAAATCTTGCCTCAGGACACTCTTTCGTCTCATATGTTTCTTCAACCAAAATCTATTGAGCATTTACCATTTGCTAAGAAGTTGAGTGGTGCAAAAGGTTAATTCACCCAGCCTGGTGGCTTCAGTCCACCCAGAGGTACCTAGGAAGAGAGGTCTGGCAATCTACATCTAAAATATCAGCCACTGAAAACCCTATGGGACACAGTTCTACTCTGACACATATGGAGTTATCATGAGTTGGGATCAATTCAACAATAACTAGTACAACTTACCAAACCCTGGGCAGTTACATGGGATAAAGTAATGGCACATTAGACAAGGTCCTTGATGGAATGGAGCTTCTCTTTTACTGGGAGTCAATAAACCAGTGATTGAACAAGTATCACGTGCTCTGATGACTTTAAAACAGGACAACATGACAGAGAGAGGGTGCTGAGAGTTCAGTAAGCAACTTCTCAGACAAGATGATCAGGGAACATCTCTGGGGAAAAGAAGGCATTTCAGGTGAGATCCAAATGAAGAGAAGAAACCAAAGAACCGCAAAAACAAAGGTCTTGAGACAGGAAAGAACCCAATATATAAGAGGAACAGAGAGCCGTTTGCTCGCGTGGCTGGACTCAGAGGAGGACAGCAGGCAGGGGCAGGATCTCGCTGAACTTTTAAGGTCAGACTGAAGGTTGAGTTCTGAGGAGAGGAGTGCTGGGTGGTGATTTAATCTGAGTTCAGCGTTCCTCTCAATCTTATCGCACTTGCTGGCCCTCCAGAGCGCCACAGGCTTCTGGTAGGTTCTCCACTTCCTTCCTCCCTAAAGCATTTGCATTTTCACAATCTGAATGCATGTGGAGAGCTTCCTCTGCCGCTTAAGAGCCAGGTTTACCCTAGTCTGTTACCGTGAACCAGGCAGCTCCCCACCACTACCTGGCCTCTGTCTCCAAATCTGTAAAAGTGGGTGGATGGGACCAATAGATGCATAAAGTCTCCCCAACCCTATCACTCCATCCGTGGATTTTGATTGGAAGAGAATGTTTCCAGAGTGACATCAGGAAGAGGAATGAAAGTGAAAGACAGAAACCATTCTTTATGGCTCCAGGAAGGCAGGCAAAGCTGAGGGGGTGGGGTGGGGGTACTAGGCCTGAAGGAAGAGACGTTTTTAGAAAGTTAAACTGACCAACGGGAGTCTTGACTTGGACTTTCATTTCTCCTAAATGCCCCGGCAGCATCGTGTGACAGATGAGAGAAAGGGGAAGCCAGGGGCGTCCGATGTTTCTCAAGAACAGGGAGTAGACAGAGGAGAAGGCAGTGTGGGGCAGAGGTAGAGAGAACCCCTGAGGGAGAGTGACCCCCAAACAGTGCAGGCCAAGTACCACCCCAGGTCAGGTTAAAGTTGAGAAAGGGTGGAGACTAGCGGGAACTAGGAGGAGGAGGGGCAGAAAATTGAGCCAGAACAGGTCAACAGTGCAAAAGTTGAGAGGGGGAGAGAGTCAAGAGTTGGGTGGGTGGGTGAGGGGCGTAGGGGGAGAAGCAGTGGAGTGAGGGAAGAGTTAGGGGTGGAAGGAGAGACAAGAAAAGAGAGTTGAGATTTGGGGAAGGGGAAAGTAGCAGAGGGATCCGGGTGGAGGGCTAAAGAAAAGGAGAGGGGATTCAGGGGGAGACAAGGCTGGGCAAATAGAGGTGAGGAAGAGAACAAGTAGACTGGGACCCGAGGGCTCAGCGGTGGGGTACCTGGGAGGCAGGGGCCAGCATGCCGGGACCGGGGGAGCCCTGGGGGGCGGCAGAGCGTAGGCCGCTGCTGGCGAGCAATACGCGAGGCCCCAGACGGTGGCGGCTAGCGGCAGGCGCCGTGATACTGTTCGTGGAGATGCTGGAACGCGCCGCCTACTTCGGGATCTCGGCCAACCTGGTGTTGTACCTCAACAGCACCCACTTGAACTGGACCGGCCAGCAGGCCTCGTTCGCCGCGCTCATCTTCCTGGGCGCCTCCTATCTGCTGGCCCCCGTGGGAGGCTGGCTGGCCGACGTGTACCTGAGCCGATACCTGGTCGTGGCGCTCAGCCTGCTGCTCTACCTGCTCTCCTCCAGCCTGTTGGCCGCCACCGCCTTCAATGATGGCCGCAGCTCCTTCTGCGGGGACATGCCCGAGTTCCTGATTGAGCACAGCAGCTGCCAGTCCACCTGGTCCAAGCCCTACTGCGCGCCTACGGTCTACATGGTCCTGCTGTTGCTCGCCCTGGCAGCCAGCTCCATCAGGACCAACCTTACGTCCTTTGGTGCCGACCAGGTGGGTAGCAGGATCCCCTGTGGGAGGCTCTGGGGATGAGCGAGTGGATTTGGAGTCAGAACCAATTGGAACAGGCTTCCAGTGTGACCTACGCCCAACCACATCCCCCCTTCTGCATCCAGTTTTCTTATCTCTAAACATGAATGGGCTGAACAGTAGCAAGGATAGTGAGGTGGGCCCAGAATCGGGTAGTGTTTCATTCTGTTGGATATAGGGGTAACTATGAGTTGGTACCGACTCGATGACACCCAACAACAACAACAAGATATCCCTTACAGATTTCTGTCAGTCCATCTGAGTTCCTAGCGACAATAGAATTGCCCACAGGGTTTCTTTACCAAAGAAAGTAGCAGTCTTTACTGAAACAGAGTACCGCAACTTTCTCCCATGGAGAGACTGGGTGGTTGGTGGTTATGTGCCGTGGAGTCGGTTCCAACTCATAGTGACCCTGCACAGGGTTTCCAAGGCTGTAAATCTTTATGGGAGCAGAACACCTCATCTTTCTCCTGCGGAACAGCTGGTAGTTTCGAACTGCTGTCCCTGAGGTTCGCAGCCCAATTTGTAACCACTATACTACCACTGGTAGCGTAGTGGTTACGAATTGGGCTGCGAACCTTAAGGCCAGCAGTTCGAAACTACCAGCTGCTCCGTGGGAGAAAGATGAGGCGTTCTGCTCCCGTAAAGATTTACAGCCTCGGAAACCCTGTAAAGGGTCGCTATGGGTCGGAACCGACTCCACGGCACTTAGCAACAGCAACATACTACCACTGGTGGGTTTTAATCATCAACCTTTTGGTTAGTAGCCTGAGCACTTAACCGTTGTGCCACCAGGGAACCTTATATTTAAGATGAGGGGCGCTAACCCTACCAAAGGAGTCCGGGTGTGATGCTATAGGATAAGCATTGGACTGCCAACCACAGGGATGGCAGTTCAAATCCACCAGTTCCTCCTTAAAAACCTATACAGGGTTACTCTAAGTCGGAACTGACAACAACTACCCTAACAACAATAGTATACATCTCATAAGCATAGCAGGCCTTCTTTGAGCTATAGGCCAAGTCCTGTGCTAAACACTGGCAATATTTAAACTCAGTTAATCCTCTCAACTGTTACAGAGCATGGCCATTAATGAAAAGGTTGGAGGTCTGAGACCATTCATAGGTACCTAGGAAGAAAGGTCTGGTGATCTACTTCTGAAAAACCAGTTACTGAAAACTCTATGGAGCACAGTTCTACTCTGACATACACGGGGTTACCATGAGTCCAAGGAAACAGAGTGTTTTTGTTTTTTGTTTTTTGTTTAGTTAATCCTCTTAATTACTCATTCCCAAAACCCACAGCCTTCAAGTCAGTTCTGACTCACAGCAACCTTCTAGGACAGAGGAGAGATACGCCATAGGGTTTTCAAGGCTGTAAATCTGTATGGAAGCACACTGCCTCGTCTTTTTCCTGCAGAGTGGCTGGTGGGTATAAACCGCTGATCTTATAGTTAACAGCAACAAGTCACCCCTACACCACCAGGGCCTCACTCAACCACGAAACCAAGAAGCTCACCGTCATCGACACATAGCTACCCTACACAGGGTTTCTAAGACTATACATTTTACAAGGGCAGTTAGCCTCATCTTTCTCCCTGGGAGCGGCTGTGGGCTTTGAACTGCCAATCTTTCAGTCAGTATTTGAGCGCCTAACCCACTGCACCACCAGGGAGTCTTACCTTACCCATGTTGTTGTTATTGTTACTGTTGTTAAGTGCCGACTCATAGCAACCCACCAAAGAACAGAAGGTGGATTTGAACTGCCAACCTTGTGCTTACTAGTCCAGTGCTTATCCTATCATGCCATACCAGGACTCTTTACTCATAGGTGGGTAATATTATTTTGTCCATTTTACAGATAAGGAGACAGAGGTTCCACATTGATCAGCTTGTCCAAGTCACATAGAGAATATAAGGAGTGAGGTCACTAGCAGTCTTGAAAGTTTCCATCTTTCTGTGTTGCATGGATCTGGGGGATAAGGCAGGAGCAGCCCCTTCCTACCATAAGTACCAGGCAGCCTCTGGATCAAATCCCAGCTTGGTCACTCATTAGTGGAGGGGCACTCGGGTAAACATCTTAATATCTGAGTCTTCCTCTGTAGTCCCGAGAACAGGGTTTAATAGATATTCGCTGAATGAATGAGCAAGTATCTAACGACAGGACTATATTTTCAAGCTCTGCTCAGTGGGGTATTAGGGAATCATTTTAAATGATGCTTCAGGGATGCTTTCAGTACTGAAAAAAAAAAAAAAAAAAACCAACTGAAGTATAGTGCTAACAAGCAAAAACAGGCAGAACACACAGGATTATTGCAACAGTATGAAAAGTCATGCTAGTTCCCTACAGCTGACTGACTCGCAGTGACCTATGGGGAACAGAATGAAATGGAGTCAGTCTCCCACAATCGCCAGGCACTGACGTTGCTGTATGAACCCATTGTTATGACTGTTGTATCATTCCATCTCACAGAGAGCTTCCTTCGTCCTCACTGACCCTCTGCTTTACCAACCATGATGTCCCTTTCTACCAATTGGTCTTTGCTGATAATTTGTCCAGAGTAAGCGAACCAGTCTTACTGTCCATGCTACTAACAACATCCTGGTTGTATTTCTTCTAAGAAAAGACTAGGTGTCAACTAAAAGAAAAATTTTTTTATATTATGATCAGGCCAGTAGACTTGTTAAGTGCTGTTGAGTTGTTTCCAACTCATAGCGACCCTGTATAGTGTTTCCAAGGAGCAGCCAGTGAGTTTAAACTGCCAACCTTGTGATTAACAGTCTAGTGTTTATTCTTTAGTGACTAATTGTTGTTGTTAGGTGCCATTGGTATCGACTCCTAGTGACCTAGGCACAACAGAACGAAACATTGCATGGTCCTGGGCCAACCTCACAATTGTTGCCACACTTGAGTCCATCGATGCTGTCAATCCATCTCGTTGGGGTCTTCCTCTTTTTCTCTGACCCTCCATCTTACCAAACATGATATCCTTCTCCAGCGACTGGTCCCTTCTGACAATATGTCCAAAGTATGAGAGACGAAGTTTGGCCATCCTGGCCTGGAAGGAGCACTCTGGCTGCTCTTCTTCCAACACTGATCAGTTGGCTCTTTTGGCAGTCCATGGCACTTTTAGTATTCTCCTCCAACACCACAATTCAAAGGCATCAATTCTTCTATGAGCTTCCTTATTCACTGTCCAGCTTTCACATGCATATGAGGTTATTGAAAATACCATGGCTTGGGTCAGGTGCACCTTAGTCCTCAAGCTGACATCTTTGCTCTTCAACACTTTAAAAAGGTCTTGTGCAGCACATTTGCCTAATGCAATATGTTGTTTGATTTCTTGAGCTGCTTCCATGAGTGTTGATAGTTGATCCAAGAAGAATGAAGTCCTTGACAACTTTATTCTTTTCTCCATTGATAAGAATGTTGTTTATTAGTCCAGTGGTGAGGATTTTTGTTTTCTTTATATTGAGATGCAATCCATACCAAAGGCTGTGGTTTTTGATCTTCATCAGTATGTATTTTAACTCCTCTTCACTTTCAGCAAGCAAGGTTGTATCATCTGCACATTGCAGGTTGTTAATGAGTCTTCCTCCAATCCTGATATAATCCATATGATCTCCATATAACCCAGTTTCTCAGATTATTTGCTCAGCATACAGGTTGAATAAGTATGGTGAAAGAATACAACCCTGACGCACAGCTTTTTTAATTTTAAACCATTCAGTGTTCCCGTGTTGTATTCAAACAACTGCTTCTTGGTCCTTGTGCAGGTTCCTCATGAGCACAATTAAGTGTTCCGGAATACTCATACTTCACTATGTTGTCCATAGCTTGTCATGATCCACACAATCGAAAGCTTTTGTGTAGTCAATAAAGCACAGGTAAACATCTTTCTGGTATTCTCTGCTTTCAGCCAAGATCCATCGGAAGTCAGCAATGATATCCCTCATTCCACGTCCTCTTCTAAATCCTGCTTGAACCTCTAGAAGTTCTATGTCAATGCATGCTTGCAGCAATTTCGGTATACCTTTAGTAAAAACTTTACTCCCATGGGATATCAAAGATATTGTCCAATGATTTCTACATTCCATTGGGTCACCTCTGTTTGGAATGGGCACAAATATGGATCTCTTCCAATCAGTTGGCCAGGTAGTTCCAAATTTCTTGGCATAGACGAGTGAGTGCCTCTTGTGTCACCTCACTTTCTTGAAAAATTTCAATTTGTATTCCATCAATTCCTGGTTCCTTGTTTTTTGTTGATTCCTTCAATGCACCTTGGACTTCTTCCTTCAGTATCATTGGCTCTTGATCATATGCTACCTCTTGAAAAAGTTGAACATCACCCACTTCCTTTTGGTACAGTGACTCTGCGTATTCCTTCCATCTTCTGCTTCCATTTTCTAATAGTTTCTGTGTTTTAAATGTGTTTAAATCATAGTTGTTGTTGTTTTTACATGCTGTTGAATCGGTTCTGACCCACAGTGACCCTGTATAGAGTTTCTGAGGAGCAGCTGGTGAGCTTGAACCACGAACCTTTCCATTCAAACCGACCTTGCAGTCCAGTGAATTAACCAACAACAATACACAGAGGGGGCGTTTTAAAAAGAATGTCTTCATCCCCTAACCCATGATCCTTCACAACAATTGTTTCTAGTGTCCTTGCAGCTTGCTTGGGTTCCTTTGACCATGAGGGAACTCACTACCTCAAAAAGCCCTGTCCATTTATGGTCCACTTCTGGCCCTCTTTCTGACCAGGAGACTGCAACCCCTGCTGATAGGAATCTCCCATCTTCCTTAGATTCTCCTCTTCCCTGGATATCCCATTCAGCTCCCAGATGCCCTGAACCTGTGACCTTAACCCCAGTGACCTCCAGAAGACCTCAGTCATCCAGTGTCCCCTGCCTCTCTCTCCTCCTGGTGGTAGAACTGGTCTCTAGTGTCAACAACAATGACAAAAGTTCCTGAGCGGTCTCCCATTTACTAAGCATGGAGGATAAGCACTGGAAAGCAAGGTCGGTTTGAACCACAAGGTTGGTGGTTCAAACCCACCAGCCGCTTCTCAGAAACCCTACACACGGTCATTATGAGTTAGAATTAACGTGACGCTTAGCAACAACAGCAGATGTGGACTCTGGGCAGCGTGAAGGTGGAAGGCCATCTGAGGGGGTCTGAATTTGACCCCTAGGATGGGACAGGGATGGGCATCATTGAATTTGAGTTCTGCAGTATAGAGAGTAGAAGGAGAGACCAGAGTGAGTATCAATTCAGGGGGGCAGTTAGGTGGGGGATGTGGGGGTGGGAGGATTGGCACTGCCAGGCAGACTTATATACCCAGGAATTATGTGTTTAACACACCTGATGATTTCAAAAAGGACCATCCATCATTCTAGACAAAGTGTCTGCTCGTGCTGGGGAAACTCATTTATATCCTGAATGTACTGCCTGATTGACCCCTTACAGTTATAATAGTCATTTTCATTTACTTCCAATTAATAAGGAGAAGTGGCTCCTCATAAAGGGACTTAATCAAATTTTCTGCTTGAAAGTCTAGAGCAAGGATTCTCAGTGCATGGGCACACCCCTCCCTCCTCATCACCAAGAATAAACCTGAGTCTTCAAAGAGCTATCATTTTAAAAGCATCTTTGGTGGTGGTGGTGGTGGTGGTTATGTGTCGTGGAGTCAATTCGGACTCATAGTGACCCTGCATAGGATTTCTGAGGCTGTAAATCTTTTCGTGAGCAGAAAGCCTCATCTTTCTCCCGAGGAATGGGCTGGTAGTTTCAAACTGCTCACCGTGAGATTAGCAGCCCGACTCATAGCCACTATTCTACAAGAGTGCCTTCAAAAACATCTTTGTTGTTGTTAAGTGCTGTCGAGTTGGTTCTGACTGTTAGCGAACTGTCCACCTCATGGTTCAAACTGACCTTGCAATTTAGTGCATTAAGCCACAGTGCTACACCAGGACTCCTCAGAGGCATCTTTATGTATTATAATTTTATGTTTGGGCAAGGAATTTAAAACAAAAACAAAAACGTATCTTTTCCACAAAGTAAAGCTTGGCACAATCTTCTTAGCTACTTGAAATATGTATTTGTGGATGGAAGAGTAGTCATGAATTCTGAGATGTTGGGATTTATGAAAAAGGTGAATGGTTTAACAATGTATGTTGTTGTTGTTAAGTGCCGTTGAGTCGGTTCCAACCCATAGCAGCCCTGTATAGGGTTTCCAAGGAACAAGTGGTGAGCTTGAACCTCCAACTTTGCAGTTCAAATGACTTTGCTGTCCAGCGCATTAACCCACAGTGCCACACCAGGCCTTCTAACAATGTAGAGACATTTCATCTAGAGAAGTGACTCCAAGTGTTCATTGCTTCTTGTTTGTTTGTTTCTATTGTGGTAACAATACATACCCAAGGCCTTCACCAATGCAGCAAAGTCCACATTTATAACTCAGTGACAATGATGGTGATAGTTTTTTATGAAGTCACTATCCTCATTGCCTTTTTTTTTTTTTAATGTTTTATTGTGAATTATGTGCTAGTTTACATGGGAGAACATTAGCTTTACATTCAGTCTATCGTATATCATTTCATTGCAATGGTTACAATCCCCTCCATGCATCATCAACCAACCAAAGCCTGCCCCCCAGTCATCAGCACACAGCCCCTCTCCCTCTCTGGATCTAGAGTCCCCAGCTGCTCCATCTCTCCATGTCGTCATCTCTGCCTCCATCTCTGGCATCACTGCTTCTCTGGGTAGGGTCCAGCTCTCCGCTCTTCTCCCCTGATGGTCCCAGGGACCTCCGCTCCTAGACTGCAAAGTCAACCACTCCCCCCCTTTTGCTACGTAACATCTACCTTTACATTTCCAACCCTCACAATCAGTCCTGATAACAATTATTAACTATTGTATCACAAGAGACCTATCCGCATTTCCTTTCATCAGCCCCACCTAGACAGATTGGATACTACTCAGTGGAGACTCTACCTTCCTCCATGCCCTCTGGCTCTAGGTTCCCTCTTGAGAGCTTGTAAGCCAGTCACTTCTTGCCTTTGTAGCACCCCCATTTTGGGTAGCCAATGTCCAAGTTGCCCATGCCTGTCTACTCTGTGTATGGAGGGGATTGCTGTAAGGATTTGTTCCCTCTTTTGAGCTACTGCATCCATAGGTGTAGGTCAAGTTCATCAAATTGTATCAGATTACACTTTTTTCCTCTTCTTTCTTCTTCTAGTTGAGCTCTGATCATCCAGTCATTGAAGCCAGGTCAAGTGGGTATTATTTGCAAGTGTGGGTGTTCTTGTGCATATGTCCTCTCTTCTTATCATCTGAACGCTTCACTCTCCACTCTAGTCCTCTGTGGCTATGTCACTGACTCTGGGCCCAAGAGTCCCCAGGTCGTGACACACTGCTGGCCAACCTGGTCTCCACCTGGGTTCACAGGAGTCTAATGAACGTTGTAGGGCTTAGCTTGCAGCTTCGTTGCTGTTTTTTCTCTCACTTCCCCTTATCGGTGACGAATGGAATGTGGCCACCAATCAGAGCGTGTATTCCCATTGAGTCTTAGTCATGGAAGAGGGTTTGCCCTCATTGCCTTTTAAATCCTAGGGCCCTGCCCCAGAACTGCTGAGTCAGAGTCTGGGAATTAAACAAACAAAAACACACATAGTGACTCTGTAGGATGGAGTAGAATTGCTCAGAGGTTTAAGGTCACAGATAGAGGGCATTTGGGGGTTAAATGGGATGTCAATGGGATTCCAAGGCTATAAATACTTAAGAAACCAACTGCCACATCTTTTGGTTGGCAGGCAGCCAAGTGCTTAACCACCATGCCACTAGAGTTCCTTAATCTGGGAATAAGGTCTGGAAAGGCAGCTAATGCCACTGACCCAAACCAGCAGACAGGAAAGGGGCCTGGAACCTGTCGTTGGCTGCAGATCAAATCCTCAGTAAAGATTTTCTACCCATCTGCCCTTGCTGGGGGATCTAAAAAAATTTTTTTTTCTCACATAGCCTGAACCATTCTTGGGGCTATGCCTGGGACCACCTCTGCTTTCCCAATTATGCTGACCTTGTTTGATTGGGCATATAACAGAGGGAGGCGAGTCAGGGAAGAAGTGAGCTATTGTAGACTATTCTGCAACTCCAAACGCAGGGGGGAGGTCTCAATGAGATGTTCTTTCGGTAATATGCCTACATCACATTTTATCATGGGAAGCAGAATGGAGCTCTTTATTGGCTTTTTCTCTGAAGGCATACATACTGCAGGTTGCATGGTCAAAGACAAAGGAATAAATCAGCCTGAAATGAACAGAGTAGTATCCAAGACATCTGTGGTATACACTACTTGGTGATCATTTAAAAAAAAAAAATCAATGAATGTCGTGGGCATGAGCAAACAGCTATGCCAAAATGTCCCGATGGTTAGCAAGGGGCTCCCAAGAGAAGGGTTCATTCATTCATTCAACAAAGGTTTATTGAATGTCTGTTTAGTGATCAGAGACTACAAAAAATGCCAGGATACCCATCCACTGACCCAGGAAGTGGGCAGTGAGGGTACATCATGGGCAGGGTGCTGCTGACCCTCCGGGCCCTAACTCTCACCCCTCCCTGCCTGGCAGGTGTTATATCTCGGCCGCAATGCAACTCGCCGCTTCTTCAACTGGTTTTATTGGAGCATAAACCTGGGCGCTGTTCTGTCACTGCTGGTGGTGGCTTTTGTCCAGCAGAACATCAGCTTCCTGTGGGGTTACACCATCGTCGTGAGCTGTGTGGGCCTGGCCCTCTTCCTCTTCCTCTTTGCCACCCCTGTCTTCATCACCAAGGCCCCCACAGGCAGCCAAGTGTCAACTATGCTTAAGCTTGCACTTCAGAATTGCTGCCCGCAGCTATGTCGCCGATATGCTGCCAGGTAAGAAGGGGATTCTAGGTGATAGAGGCTAGCCCACTTGGAGAAGCTCCATACGTCTCCTACGGAAGCATGGGCCAGATTGGAAGCCACTCTGGTTCAATCCCTGTGATTGTCCCTGATGCTGACCTGCTCTCCAGGGGCCCAGAGTGACCCACACTCTGGTTGGAGGATGGCGGTGGAGGTCAAGGTGGTAGTGATGGTATTATTGGCAATGGACTAACTATAGAAGGTGTAAGGGTACTAATGATCTTGAGCCTGATAGTGATAATACAAGAGGAATGATGGTGTTGGTACCTACAGGAAAGATAAAGGCTGGTCATGGTGGGGACCAGGGTAGTAGAAGTGCTGGTCATAGAGATGGTGCCACTGAAGCCTGTAGGGATGTAATCTGAAGAATTCTACACTAGCCTCTCATATCAAGTATAAGTATTATTGTTGTTGTTAAGTGCTGTTGAGTTGATTCTGACCCATAGAGACCCTGTGTAGGGTTTCCGAGGAGCAGCTGGTGAGCTTGACCCACTGACTTTGCAGTTCAAACGGCTTTGCAGTCTGGCACATTAACCCCCAGTGCTACACCAGGAATAGAAAGGTCTAAGAAATCAGACCCACTCACTCTTTTCCCCCATTAGCTAACATCCAAGGCAAAAGGTTCTGAATGGTCTTGCATGAGCCCAATGGCTTCCTTTGACCCCTTTCCTTCCTAGGCAATTGGCTAGTTATGTTAAGCAAACCTGTTTTATCTATTGCCCCTATGGTATCACAGAGACCCACGAGGTGCTCAACTACTCCCTGACCAGAGGTATCCCCAGCCTGGCCCTTCTCCCCAAGAGGACATCGCTAACTTCCAGGTGCTGATGAAGATCTTGCCTGTCATGCTGACCCTGGTGCCATATTGGATGGTATACTTCCAGGTGAGGAGCCCCTGCCCTTTTGCTGTGGGAGGCCTTGGCCCCCCACTCTTCCCATGGAGCTCATCTCTCATCATAGAAGTCCGGGGTCTATGGGATCAGGGAAAAGGGACGAACCAAGTGAACTGCTGCTAGGGTACCAGCTGGCCCAGAGCTTGGCACAAAGCCATGCCCAATATGTGTTTGTGGAATTAGCAGGGAGAGGCAGGTGGTATAACAGGAAGAGCAGTTGAGACTGAAGTTTAACTGCTTGAATAAGTCGCTCTAGCTCTGGGGGCCTAAGTCTCCTCATGTGTGAACTGGTGGCTTAGGCTAGAGGCTCTTAGCACTTAAGTGTTCAGATTCTCTGATTTAGCAGCTCAAGGTCCCTCAGCAGGTTAGAAGCAGGCCAGTGTTTTACAACAGGGTTCTGCAACCTGGCTGTGCCTCAGAATCGCTTGTGGAGTTTTAAAAAATAAATACAGATCCCTAAATCCCAACTGACAACTGAACTGGAATTGCTAAGGGAGGTCCTGGGAGTCTAGTTTAATTAACTCAGATGACAGCAATACTCAGCCAGATTGGGGACACTACTGCTTCCCATGGGGAAGGCTACAGCATGTGTGTGTATGAGAGAGAGAGAGAGAGAGAGAGAGAGAGGGGAGACTGGGCGCCAGCCAATCCAACCCCAGAACATAAGCTTCCAAACTTCCTCATAGGAGCCTGGAGTGAATTGCAAAAGGAAACAGGCACATGCAGGGCCCACTGCTACTTGGGGCTGGTACAGAGGTAGAATGTGTGTGGTAGAATTGGGGGATGGGGACGCCATGGTTGAATCTTAGTCATTCCGTTCATCAGATAATGACATTCTTCCATCCCAGATGGCTGCTTCCCTCAGTGACCCACGTGCCCTCCTCTGACCCAGCCCCTCCCATGAGATTACTCTGGGTCCCTTTCCACAATCTTGCCTAGTGTGACAGCTGCGTGCAGAGTCCATTCTGTCAGATGTATCTACTTAGAACTGATTGTGTCAGCCTGTGGGCTCAGCTTGGCCACCATGTCAACTGAGAACTCCCTCTGGGGGCAGCCATGCCATTATCTTTCCCATTTCAGTCAACATTTATCCATGCCTACTCTGTAAACACAAGACGGGTCAGACCCAGTTGTATCTGCTGCAGTTCTCGCCTCTGCTCTGGGACGAGGCTGCACACACCGGGAGCAGAGCCAAGACTAGCACCTATGGGGTGGGAGTGTTGGCCCCCCTGAGGCCAGGATAGAGGCCAGCTGCTCAGTTGCCCCCTGGCATTGCCGAGGAATGCTTGCCTGAGAGCTAGGGGTCTCCTGTGGCTGGAGGCAAGGTGAACTCTAGGTCCCAGCTAATGTCTGTCTCTCCTGGCAGATGCAGACCACGTATGTCCTACAGGGTCTTCACCTGCACATCCCCATTTTCCCAGCCAGCCCGACCAACGGCTCCATGGCTCTACATACCCAGCACAACTACACGGTGAGAGACCACGCATGTATTCAGCTGTCAGCTAGGGCTGGACTAGGGGCTTCATCTGAGCAAAGGGGGGTGGAGGGGTTCCCTTTACTCATCCCTCCCCCAGCTACAGAGCATCCTCAGTGTACTGGAGGGACACTTGTAGGGTATGGGAGTTTGTGCCATAGCCCAGCTCCTGCCAGGATGCCCAACTACTCCAACAAACACAGGCCAACTTCACTCTCACCTGAACTAGGTCTCACTGCCCAGTGTGCAGTGGGCCCACAGGTCAGGCCCCTACCCAACTCCTGGGACTCCTGAGGACTTTTAAAAAGCAGTTTGTAAAATCATAGGTTTTCAGGTACACAACATAATTGCCACCATCTCCCTATTCTTTGCCCACAGCCAACATGACTGATCAATCATGGAATTCTTTCATACTGAACTCATGAATCTTTCAGGCAACCTCCACCAATTAATAGAAATTAGAAAACAAGAAGAATTTAGTTGCTATCCTTGATTAATTACACTGCTAAAGAGTCTAAATTCAGGGCTAGCTCTGGGACCCAGGAAATCTGGAGTCCTGGTCTACCAATGCCAATCCTGACTTCCTGTTGGCTCCCTCTTGTCCAGATTCCAGAAGCCTGGCTCCTCCTGGCTAATATTGTGGTCGTGCTGATCCTGGTCCCACTGAAGGACCACTTGCTGGACCCTTTCCTGCTGCGGCACAAGCTGCTTCCCTCGCCTCTGAAGAAGATGGCACTGGGAATGTTCTTTGGCGTTACCTCCGTCATTGTAGCTGGTGAGTGGTCCTGAACAGAGGGCTGCAGCAGGGAGGTTGCGGGGAGGGGGGGTGTCTTTGGTCTGCCTGGGTGTGTGGTGTGTGGGAATGGTCCCACTGTGGGTTGAAGTGGAAGCCATGGGCCTCTGCCAAGCAGATCCTCCCCCTTCCCAGAAACTGAAAGAGAGCCTTTTCATAGAACCCAGCCTCCCTGGTTTTGACAAATGAAGAAACACAAGCCAAGAGAGTCTGAGATTTTCCCAGTGGGAAAATCCCAATGGGATGGAAGCTCCTCAAAGGCAGAGATCTTGATCTTTTCTTACTCATTGCTAATTCCCCAGAAGCCCTGAGGCACAGCTGTTCTACAGGGTCACTATGAGCTGGAATCAACTTCATGGCCAAGGATTTGTTTTGTGTGTATGTGTGTGCATCCCCAGAGCCTAGAATAATGCCTGTAGGTACTCAAAGTGTGTTGAATGAATTAATTTTCAAAAGACACACAGCCACTTAGTGACAAATGCAGAACACTTTTTTTTAAATGTATGATTTATTCTTTTCCTTCCTCCATTTCAAAAGGATTTGAAGCCACTAATAATTTTTAAAATGACTCAGAAGCCTGTTGGTGGCACAAATGTTAAGCATGGAGTTCTAGTGTGGTGCTGTAGGATAAGCACTGGACCACAAAGTCAGATTAAATCGCAAGATCAGAGGTTCAACTCACCAGCTGCTCCTTGGAAACCCTATACTGGGTCGCTCTGGGTTAGAACTGACTGGACAGCACTTAACAACAACTAACTGAAGGGTTGACAGTTCAAATCCAGTCAGAGGCACCTTAGAAGTAAGGCCTGGTGATGATCTGCTTCTGAGAGGTCACGGCCTTGAAAACTCTATGGAGTGGTTTTAGTCTGCACACGTGGGGATACCATGGGTCAGAATCGATTCCAACAGTAGCTAAAAAGGACTCAGGTAAAGAAGAGTTAATAGCAGTTACCCAAACCTGAGTCCTTTAAGCTCCTTACCGCCTGAGCCTGAAGTTACTCTGGGTCTCTGCACCTCATCTTTCAGAAGGGAATTGTAATTCATTTGGGCACTGCACTAGTGGAGTTTTGAAGATGAAGTCCATAAAGAACCCAGCAACGTGCCTGGACCACAAGTAGGAAGTGAAGACATTCAAATTCCTGTGGAGCTGTAGGGTAAGCCGTGGAATGCAAGGAGGTCGGTTGGAACCACAAGATCACCAGCTCAAACTCACCTGCTGCTCCTCAGAAGCCCTATACAGGGCCGCTATGAGTTGGAACCAACTCGACGGCACTTAACAACCACTATCAGTATTGCATGAAAAGGATGAAAACCAATCTGGAGACTTTTCCAACTATAAAATTCTTTGTTAACTGTTGTTCACTTTCATCACAATGATCCTTGGATGTTCATTCACGCTCCTCAGAAAAAGGACCTGAAACCCCGCTGGTGCATTCGTTAAGTGCTAGGCTGCTAATTGAAAAGTCAGCGATTTGAACACCCCCCCCCCCCCCAGTGACTCCCAGGAAGAATATGCCCTTGTAAAGATGCCCTGGAAACCCTATGGGACAGTCCTTCTTTGTCTTGTTGGGTTGTATGAATCTGAATCGACCCCAAGACACATACCATCATAATCATCTGAGATCATTTCTCTCTGTACAGTTAAGCCATTGACTTGATAAATAAGTGTGTTTCCTTTTGTCAAAAAAAAAAAGAGTAAAGGAACCTGGGTCTCCAAGACATTAACTGATTTTGCCCAAGGTCACACAGCTTGCCAGGCGCTGAGCTGGACCCCCAGACTCTGCCCTCATGGAACGTGGTCTAGTGGAGTATTGAAGATGAAGTCGGATTAGAACCCATGTCCATGAACCCCATGCCTCAAAATATAGACTCATAGATATAGAACTGCCCCCACTGGGTCTCCAAGGTGTCATCTTTACGGAAGCAAACGGTCACATTTTCTGCTGAGGAGCCAATCATCAACCTTTGGTGGGTTCCAACCATCAACCTTTTGGTTAGGAGCTGAATGCTTAACCATTGCATCACCAGGGATCCTTAACTCCATTCAAGTAGAGCATATTTGCCTCCTAAGCAAGGAAGGGAATGGTGATAAGATCGTTGTTAAACTAGAAAGCAGGTGAGAAACACAACTGTAAAACGTGATGATGTAATCGGTGATGATGAAATCAGTGATGATGTAATCAGTGATGATGTAATTGGTGATGCTGTAATCAGTGATGATGTAATCGGTGATGATGTAATCGGTGATGATGTAATAGAGGAGACCTGGCATCGTGGAGGGTGGGCCAGCCTTGAAGTCAGACATGCTGGGACTCAAATCCACCTTTGACCTCTGACCAGCTCTGTGACTCTGGGCTAGTTGCTTAACTGAAGTTTCCATTTATTCATCATATTAGATGGCTAGCATGTAACACTCTCACTGAATGAGAATGTTGTTATTGAGTACAAAGTCTCGCTCTGAGCTTTCTGACAGCCAAGGCGAAAAAGAGAAGAATCAGAACTCAATCTTACCCTTCTCGTGCCAATATGCTTTTCCTTCCCATTGCCCAGTCAACCCTTGGCTACCCAGAGAGCCCTCACCATATGCCAGGCTGTGCTATGGGTTACACAGGATGAGATGAGCTTGGCTATAGCACTGGTCTCCCCTTTCCCCAGGCATCCTGGAGATGGAGCGATTACAGTACATCGACCAGGAAAAGATAGTGATCCAGAAGATTGGACAGGTCACATACAACGCGGCATCACTGCCCATCTGGTGGCAGATCCCTCAGTACCTGCTTATTGGGATCAGCGAGATTTTTGCCAGCATCCCAGGTATCCTGGGTTCCCTCTTTGCTCCTGTATCAGTGATGGCAAGTCAGGGGTCCCACCTTGGCCACAACCTCCAAGGGCTCATCTGCAGGGAGGAAGGCACTGTTTCCTGAGCAGGGCTGCTGTCATCAAGGGGCGGGCATCAGTTAGCAGCTGGTTTGTGCCAGGCACTGCAATGGGCACTGGCAGTTTGAAGAAGACATTTTCACACCAACTTGCCACACAGGCTCCCCAGTGCCATGTTCCCCACCCTCACACTTGCTGTTCCCTCTGCCTGAGATTGAAGGTGAACTCTCGTTTACCCTTCAATGCCACCTCCTCTAGGAAGTCCTCTGCTTGTTCATCTCTTTAGCACTGCACACAGACCTTGGGGTTGTGGTAAAGTATGTCTGTCTCCACCACTGGACTTTAAACTAGGGATGCAAGGCTGGGACAGGCTATGCTATCAGTGAAGGAGTTGGGGCTCATTCAGCTGCAACCCCAGAGCTAGGCTCTAATGAGACATAAAGATACAACTGCCCCTCAGCGTGGTGGGGAATGATAGCTATGCCAACCAGAACCCCACAGAATGCTGCAGATGTGAACAGCCTGTGAGCACTGCAGGTACCCTTGAGCAAGGTGGGAAGGAGCCTTGAGCTGAGCTCCTGAGGAGACAGGACTCAGCAGAAAGGGAAGGAGCTTACAAGCAGAAGGAACCCCATCAGCAAAGACCCAGAAGCCTGCCCTGCATGCAATGTCTGTAGGGAAGCCTGGGGCTAAGACCCAGAAGGCATAGGGGGTGGGCGGTCACACGGCGCCTTGGGGGCCAAGCCTGGATGTTGGGAATTCTCCTGAGAGCAATAGGATACCCTATAAGGCGATTTTGGCAGGAAAAGGATCCTACTAGAGATGCATGTGGCTGTATGAGGAGGCAGAGTATGGAGGAGTGTGCAGAGACCAGACAGGAAAAGAACGGGGCAGGGCTTTGACTGAGATGGTGGGGACAGAGAGGAGGACATACATTTGGAAGAGGTTTCTATGGGTAATCGAAATGATTTGGTGATGAGATTAGAGGTGGACAGAGGAGTACGGGGAGGGACAAGGTGAAGATGCAGTTACTGACATGGGAACCCTGGGGGAGGGAGGGGAGACGGCAGTGAGCTCCAGGGCAGCCTGGAGAGCATCCAGGTGGAGGATGCCCCGAACAGAAGTGAGGGCACGGTGTTGGTCATAGCCACGGAGGTGGAGGGTCATCTCGGGGAGCCAGGATGGAGGCTTGGGTGGGTAAATGGGCCTTCTTGCCCCACCATCAATTCCTGGGTTTCTCCCTCTCTGCAGGCCTGGAGTTTGCCTACTCAGAGGCCCCACGCTCCATGAAGGGCGCCATCATGGGCATCTTCTTCTGTCTGTCTGGGGTGGGCTCGCTGCTGGGCTCCAGCCTGGTAGCCCTACTGTCCCTGCCGGGGGGCTGGTTACACTGCCACAAGGACCTTGGTGAGTGTGGGCACCTCCCTGGAGTGGGGACACAGGTGGAGGGAGGCTTGAAAAGGTAGCCACTTTTAAGTGCTTTCACCCTAGGTAGGATGAAGCAGGGATTGGGCTGAGAGAAGAAGGTTCTAGCTCACAGGTTGACCACTCACCCACAGCGAAGCTTCCTACCTTGAGCCTCAGTTTACCTGACTGTCAAAAAGGAAGCATTAAATTCAGTGGGTCTCCAGGGCTCATTCCTGTTTCTAAAGCACTGCATTGTACCTGAAGGTCACTTTACCCTGCAACACAGACATCCATGGTTCCATGAGGTTACAATATAATTCAGAAATCCAGACAGGAGAATTAACATAGCGAAGGCAAGGGCTTCTGGTGTGCTACATCTGTATCTCATGTTGCTTGCATACCAAGTGTATGTCAGGCATACAGTGGTACCGTACATATAGAAGCTATAATACGAGGGTGAGTCAAAAATTACCCACATTCCATTTATATTAAAATGCCCATCCCCAGCTGATGACAACATTGAGTGTGCATGTGAAATGATTCTGTCAAACAGACAAGTGACAGTGGATTAGGTGGTAAGTCATCTGCAAATCATCCACGGCTCTGCCTATGAAATAATTCACACTGACTTGGGTTTCAAAAACTTTGTGCGAGATCGGCACCGAAACAACTCACGGAAGAGCCTAAACAGAAGCATGTGGACATCTGCAAACAACATTTGGACCAATACTAGAAGGAAGGTAAACATTTAAGAAAAATTGTTACTGATGATGAAACATGAATTCATCCCTACGAGCCTAAGAGTAAATGGCAGAGTATGAAAAAAGAAACATCCTTCCTCGCCGACCAAGAGAAAGTTCAAAAGTCAAGCATCAGCTGGAAACTTGATGCTTAACAGTTTTCTGGGATTCTTAAGGGCCAGTATTGGAACACTAAGGAGCTCCGGTAGCATAGTGGTTACGAATCGGGCTGCGAACCGCAAGGTCAGCAGTTCGAAACTACCAGCTGCCCCGCGGGAGAAAGATGAGGCTTTCTGCTCCCATAAAGATTTACAGCCTCAGAAACCCTGTACAGGATCGCTATAGGTCAGAGCCGACTCCACAGCACATAGCAACAACAATTGGAACACTATCAGGAAAAAGGTTCAGCAATCAACGGTGCTCGTTAAAGTGAGATGCTCACTGAAGAGCTGAAGCCTAAACTTCAGATTAAAGGCAGAGGACTGCTATCCAAGGGCACTGTGATCTTGCATGAAAATGCACATCCACATATCTCTGCCCACAATGTTGATAATCTGCAAAAATTTTGTTTTTTTGAAAGCATCCCTTTGAGGATACAGATTCATCTCTGAAAAAGTGAAGACAGCAGTGCATTTGTGACTCACAGCTCAGACTGAAACATTTTTTAGTAAGGGAATATGAAAGCTCATTGACAGATGGGCAAAGTATATTGACAAGCAAGGTGATCGTGTCAGAAAATGATGCATCTGTCTTTTCTAAACGTTGATTAATTCTACAACCAAAGTGTGGATAATTTTTGACTCACCCTTGTACGTGTCCTGATGGTCCTCATAAATGTCTGGTTACTGGCTTGTATATGTACTGTACTGTACTTTGTATCTAAAAAGTTTACTGTACACCAGTGTATGTTTCAACTCGTAGGCAGGAGCATCAGATCTTATGCACTGCACATCTCTTGAGTGTTGTACCGTGAGCTGTTAATTTATTTTCAATGTTACCATGAAGAGCATCATGGCTCCCAAATGTAATGAAACTTTAGCGCAAGTGACAGCAACAGCAAGAGGCAAAGGAGAAGTGTCGATTTGGAACTGAAACAAAAGATGATTAAATAGCACAAAGGTAGAAAATCAGTGAACACTACTGCTCAAGATTCTGCCGTGTCATATTCAACAATCATGATAATCCTCACAAACAAAGGAAAAATTCCCCAAGCTGTTAAAGGAGCTCAGCTCCACTGAAAGCTACAAGGTTAAAGGAAAGATGAGAGGCACCTATACCAGATGTGGAGAAATTACTAATGACTTGGAGTGCGGACCAAACACAAAAGTGAATCCCTCTCAGCACATTGATGATCAACGCTAAGGCACAAAGCTTCTTCATGATGCTAAAAACAGGACCAGACTACAGTGTGGTGTTCCTGTAACATCCAAATCATATAACGTTCTGTGAAACAGGATGCATCGTGGTCATTAAAGGACACATGACAATATATGTGTTTCAAGTAGACCCCAGATGAATAGATAGGTAAAGGGGAGCTGTAGATGTCACAAGCGATGTCAGGAGCAGCCCGCTGTCACACCCCACCCACCACTTCCCATGAGGCTAGGACAAGGGGAGGTATAAGATAGAAGATCCTGTTCTAAACCCAATACTAAGCCCTCCTTTTCCCAGGGAACATCAACAATTGCCGGATGGACTACTACTTCTTCCTGCTGGCTGGTATCCAGGCTGCCACATTCCTCCTATTTCTTTGGATTTCTGGCCACTATGAACAGGCGGTTCAGGACCGAGCCTCGCAAACCTATACCAGCAGGGACAGGGGCTGAACATGCCCCACCCACCCACACTCCACATCCCTCCTCTGGACACAGGAAACAGCAGCACTCACAATGACAATTTCCTTCTCCCTTTATTCTGTATCCAACAAGGAATGAAATGGTTCCCATAAATAAGGGCACAAACCCTTCCTCACGACCATGGTCTAGGACAAGGGGAGGGGCACTGGGGGCCTGGGTGGGAGTCCTTGCAAGGGACCGGTCAGGGGACTTGGACCAACAAGCACCAGAGCAGGAGAAGCAGCAGGAGGCTGTGGGACCTCACCCTGCTGCCTGGGCTGGCTGCCCAACGACAGAGCTGGGTCAGTGGCTTGGGGCAGGGTCAAGAGCTGCCTCGGATCCTTTCCATGTAGTTACGTAGCTCTTCAGGGTCCTTCAGCCCCATGTCCTCACACACCCAGCGGATGTCCTCCTCACCCGCCACCAGGATGGACTGCACTGCAGGGGCCCCTACGGGCTCCTCGGGCAGTTGGGCTGGGGGGGCTGGCGCAAACGTTACAAACTCAACACGCTTCCGCCGCCCCCCAGCTTCCTTGCGGGCCAGGGTGCCGGAAGAGCTAGTGATGCTTCCATCAGGGCCAGGGGCCTGGGCTGGGGTCTCCCCTCCTCCCCCACTCTCACAGGGGCAGCTTCCCTCCCCCTTAGCCGGTCCAGGGGAGCACCGGTCCAGCTGACGGCTCAGTTCCTCCTGGTCAGTGCCCAGCCAGACCCAGTTGTGGGGCTGTGGGGAGGTAGGGTCGGTGACGCTGTCGGGAGGCTCCTTGCGCTGATAGCGCAGCACGAAGACCACACCATTGACCAAGAAGATGAGGATGGCCAGACAGAAGATGCCCAGTAGAGCATACATGCCCAACTCGAGGTCAGTGATCCGCTGAGGGGCAGGCACCATTTCCTCCTCTTCCTCCCCGTCCTCCTCTTCCCTGGCCTCAGCTTCTTCCTCGGCCAGCTCAAACTTGCCCCTTACTCCCCCACTGACCCCCACACTGCCCACTGCCCGCTGTTCACCATCCAGGCTAGCCTCTGTGGCCAATGGGATCCGGACAGGGGTGGATGGGAGGGCAGGGGCTGGAGTGGGGGCAGGGGGCAGTCCCAGCCAGGCAGTGCCTGAAGCCAGGGGCACTCGGTGGCGGCCTCGGCGGCATGGCTCGGCTGGGTGCAGAGCCACATGCAGGGGCAGCCCCTCAGCCCCCACCCCACTCACTACTACACCGAGCTGGGCCCCCTGCTCCTCTGCTGGCAGGATGGCACCGGGCTCCTCGGCTGAGATGGACAGTCCCAGGTCACGACGATCATAGAGCTCGGCAGGGGCCAGGGTGTGGTCAGAGAAGGACAGCCAGAGAGAGAGGGCCACCTCCTGTGGGGCACACGGACACAGGCAGAGACACGCAGGGCGGGAACGCATGCATGCACACAGAGACCACTCCCACAGAGACAGGCCACAGGAAGAAGAGACCAGAGAGAAAACAGAGACACAGCAGATGGACACAACACAGGGAGAGAGGGGACTGGTGTCAACCACCTGTCTGCCACTCAACCCCAGAAGGGTCCTCAGTTAGAGCCATCTAGTCAACCTCCCACTTCCATACTCAGGCCAGCCACTGCTTGATTACCTCCAGCCACAGAGAGCTCACTACCTCTTAGGGAAGTAAGTCCTCATTCTGAAAACCCTTAAGTGAAGGGTCGAGGTACCTGGGCTCCCTTCCTCCCAGCCCCCCTCAGTCATCAGCCTCCATCCGGAAAAGTTGACCTCATCCCCCAGGCCTCCAACTGTCACCTGCTTTGGGGCGGGGAGGGCTGACTGTGCCCAGCACGTGGCTGTGACCTCTCCGGGGTGGGCATGACCCCGGCTCAGAGCCATTGATAGGCCCATCACTGGCTGCACCCTCAGCTCCAGCACCGACACCTTGTCATCTGTCACGGCCAATGCCTGCTCCCCCAGAATGGAGTCAGACAGCGGGGAATACACCTGAGGTGGGAGAAAGGTGGGGGCCTTATACACAGACAGCCCCTCCCCTCTGTGAGACCCCAGATCCCCACCCCCACAAAGGGCTCTAGTTTCTGCTCCCAGCACACTCCCATGAGCTATACTACTTAGGTCAAAGCCCCACCCATCCTTGTCCCTCCTTTCTCAAGACTGGCACCATATGCCCTCACCCAGCCCTTTATACCTAAGGAACATGGCCCATTATGTGGCCCAACCCACTCTCACTCACCTCCCAATCTGTGCTGCGCACACCTAAGCCACACACCTTTCCAGCACGCCCTGGACCCCTCTACACGCTTTACAACTTCCCAGGCATGCTGGGGCCACCCACATCCTTCTCAGTGAGCGCCCCTCCAGCGCCCCGCCCCCTTACCTCGATGGAGGTGACGCCAGGCTCCCGGCCCACCAAGACGCGGCCGCCCTCCAGCGAGGCTATGCGTGGGTCCTGGACACGAGCGTGGGGCGCCACCAGGTGGGACACGTCCAGAAGCCAGTCAGGGCCAAGCAGGTGGGTGAGGCGGCGGCCGCCGTCCTGCGGATGGGCAGCGAACGGAGCAAGGAAACGCACGCCAGCGCGTTGGTACTGCAGGCGGCAGCCGCGGGCGCGCCGCTCTGCCTCCTCCGTACCAGCAGCGGCATCTGGCTCCAAGGCCCTGCGGGAAGGGCCATAAGGGCGGGGTCATTGCGGACACCTCCCTTCACCTGCTGAGGAACCCAGCCCTCTGGAGACCCCTGGAGGCGCTGATGTCCCAGTCCGATCCGCTCCTGTTGATGCCTGGGCTTTATCTAGCCTCTGACCCTACTGTGACTCCTAAAGGGACCGCCATCATTGAGGAGGCTTGGATTCCGCTGAGAGCCCGTGAAGTTGATTCAACGTTTACTGAGCGAGGTACCATCTTAGCCTTAGAGGATACAGCAGTGGACAGAATACCCCAAACCAAACGTCCTGCTGGTCGTCAATTCTGGCTCATGGAGACCCCATGTATTACGGAATAGTACTCCATAGGGTTTTCTGGGCTGTAATCTCTGGAGAAGTTTGGTGTGGCACTGTAGGATAAACATTGGACTGCTAACCAGAAAGTCAGAGGTTCAAACCCACCAGTCATTCCTCGAACACGCTTAACAACAGATTTCCAGGCCTTTCTTCTGCTGCACAGCTGGGTGGGTTGGAATCAAAGTTTAGGCTAGTTGTCCAGTCCAAACTGTTTGCATCACCTAGGGACTAGTGAACAAAAGATCACACCCCCTGTCGCCGAGTCAATTCTGACTCATAGCCACCCTGTATAGGATTCCTGAGGCTGTAAATCTTTATGGAGCAGAAAGCCTCATCTTTCTTCCATGGAGTGGCTGGTGGGTTTGAACTGCCAACCTTGTGGTTAGCAGTCCAGTGCTTATCCTGCAGTGTCTCCAGGGCTCCTTATTGTTGTTGTTGTTAAGTGCCATCAAGTCAGTTCTGACTCATAGCGGTAGGGCTTCCGAGAAGTAGCTGGTGGGTTTGAACTGCCGACCTTGTGGTTCACAGTCCAGTGCTGATCCACAGCACCACACCAGAAGTCCTTAGAAAGCCACCCAAAGCCCTACCCCCATGGAGCTTATATTCTCAGGGGGAAAGTAAGAGTATACCGGCAACAGACTAGAGAGCTGAGGCAGGAAAGAGACCAGTTTTGAATAACACAGTCAGAGGCTGAGTACTGTGAGACAGCACTAGGCAGGAAGGAGCTGCGAGCAATCCTGCAATATCTTAGATTCCAGCTGGGGTCCACTATGTGCCCCTGGCCTGCCAGCCTTCCCAGGTCTGCACTCACCCCTCGGCTGGGCCTGGGACCCTCCAGCCTCGGACCTGCTCCAGGGTGGTGTCGGTCAGCTCGATGCGCAGGGGCAGCATGGGGACCCACACAGTCAATCGCAGCGAGGCCCGCAGCCGGCGCCACCAGAAGGCCACCCGAACCCCCTGAGCACCCTGGCTCTCCTTGCCAGCCACAAACACAGTATCACAGGTCTCAGACACCTGGGGGAAGGCAGAGGAAGGGGGAGCAGCTGAGTCATGGAGACAGGTGTAGGCCAGAGAAGGCTCTGAGGTGAAGAAATGAGAGGAGGGCAGCTGGAATTCACTTCTGTATTTCGATTTAAGGTATGCTGTGGAGGCTTGTTGGTTAAACCAGTCCTTAAGGATTTCATCATGTGATGAAGGAGGAGGCAGGCATTCTGTGAGTTCACCTGGGGCTCATGTACCAGAGTCTTCCTCCAGTAGAGGAGGGGCTTGAAATCACAAAAGTTGGCTCCTTGGTCATGCTGGCCTAGGACACTGTTACTGGAGCTAGGGGGGCAGTCAGCTATTGTAGAAGGACCTATCCATCCAAGGACCCACAGGTGGGAACCAGTTAGAAGCCATATACCTGTGAGCAAAGTACCACCACAGGGGAAGAAAGACGCCTTCCTCCCCACTAGGATGACCGGGATTTGTGTAAACACAAGTTCCCCGCTTCCCCTTCAGGAGCTGAGCTGCCTGTTTGTACCTATTGGGTTATTGCGAGGCTTCAGTAATAACTATTATTATTATTATAACTGCAGTTACTACCATTGTTTCTACTGGATACTGTCCTAAGCAAACCGGAAAGCAAATCCAGGCCATCGAATTGATTCCAACTCATAGCAACTCTATACAGGGGTTCCAAGACTGCAAATCTTTACAGGAGCAGACAGCCTCATCACTCTTCCACAGAACGGCTTGTGGGTTTGAACTGCCAACCTTGTGATGAACAGCCCAAAGTCAACCCACAGAACCACCAGGGTGCCTTGGATACTGTCCTAGACACTTTTAATTCTTACAACAACCAAAAAACATATACCTTTGTTGTTGTTATTGTTAAGGGCCATCGAGTGAGTTCTGACTTTAAAGTGATCCTGTGTAGGGTTTCCGAGGAGCAGCTGGTGGGTTTGAACTGCCGACCTTGTAGTTAGCAGTCCAGTGTTTATCCTACAGCACCACACCAGGACCCATTTTACAGTGTAGGAAACAGACTCCGAGAAATCAAAAGATCAGGATCACACAGCTAGGAGATAAGAAAGCTGCGTTTCAAACTAAAACCTTGTGACCTTAAAGTACAAGCTCTCAGCTCTCCCACATCAGCTCATTTGCCAACACAGTATGTTGTTGTTGTTGTTGTTGTTGTTGTTGGCTGTGACTCAGTGACCCAGTGTGTGCAGAGTAGAACTGCTCTATAGGGTTTTCAACACTGTGATTCTGCAATCAAGATTTCCAGACTTATCTTCCAAGACACCACTGTGTGGATTGAGACCAACTTTTTGGCTAATAATTAGTTGATCCAGGGATTCTGCCAGTGCAACAATGAACATGGAAGTGCCTTATCAGGGGGCCCATGGAGCTACCTGACTGTCACTTAGCTATGGAGGAACAAAAGAAGCTAGATGAGGTGCCCCTAGGAGGTTTCTGGTCTCAAGAGAAGCGGCTCTCAAAGAGAGTCAAATGGGGAAGGAGGCAAGCTGGGGTGAATTGGTGTGTGTGCACAAATGCCTACTTACATGAGGTTGGCACGTGCCTCTCACCTGCAGGACCTGTGTGTTGGCCGACTCGCAGCCAATGTGCTCTGTCACCTCCACCAGGACCCCCCCGCTGTCCACGGTGACAAGGCGCACGGGGACATGCCGGGGCACTCCAGTCAGCGGGGCCGTGTTCACCAGCTCTTCTGTCTGGGGGTACAGGGGGAGCTCAGTCCCAAGTCCCCTGGCTGGTGGGGCCCCTGGGACTTGGCCTCTGCCCGCCCAGGCAGAGGTGGAAGCTCCTTGCCTTGGCCAGTGGGACGAGGGCTCTTATGTCACGTTCTGACACCAGGATCTCCCACACCATTTTGTCCTTCTCTGCCTCGGGGGCCTGGCCAGGGTACTCCAGCTGCCACGTGACGGGGCGAGTGACCGACACTCCCCCACCGGTGCCATTCTCCACTGCAAAGTCTACCCACAGGAACTCGGACAGTCCAAGGGGGCTGGTTGAAGAAGAGAGAGGAACTGAGTGCTTACTAGCCACCAGGCACTGTCCTGTGCATATCATGCATTCATGAGTGAGGCACTCTAATGAGCCCATTTTACAGATGAGGAAAACTGAGGTCTGGGGACTATGCCACTCATCCAGGTTCCCATAGCCACCAAGTGCCAGGGCTGGGATCATAATGCAAGTATGCCAGTTCCAGAGTCCAGGCTCTTGTCCACTCTTGAGTGCTACAAGATCTATGAAGCTACTTAACCACCTTCCTGTGCCTTCTTCAGCCCCCTCCAGAGTCATTAAACCAGTAAAAAAAAACAACAAATCCACGGTCATTGAGTGGATTCTGGCTAAAGGACGGAGTAAAAGTCTTCCATAGAGTGTGTGACCTTGTAAATCACAACTGGTGGGTTTGAACAGCTGCACTTGTCATTGAGCCCAATGCTTAACCCACTGCACCACAAGGATTCCCTTCCCGAGTTCTTAGGGCAGATAAAGCCCCTGATGTCAACGTTCATCAAAGAGGAAGATTTGATTCCAAGTGCCCGGAGTTGACACTGAACCTTGCTAATTGCAACCCTCATAAGCTTCCTTTGTGCTAGGAATCATCTTGGATGCTTGGCATGCAGTATCTCATTTCTTTTCACCACCCAGAGTGATGTGTTATTCTCCTTGTTTTATAAATGAGAAAACAGAAGTCAGGGAGAAGGGTACAGTAGGGAGTTTACTGGCTTGCCCAAGGCTATTAATTCTCAAACCATCAGAACCAGGACTTGAGCAGGGGCTACAAAGTCCATGGCCCTGACCCAGGCTCAGGGCATTAAGAAAACATGGGAATGTTTCGAACTGCAGGGAAGTCTGGTATAAATTAGAAAGGTTCAGAAGAAGAGGTCCACATGGGGCAGGGACAGGAGAATGACTAAGAGGGCTCTACTTGGGTGGTCAGGATAGATTGGCATCACCTGGAATAAGTCTTGAAGACCCTCATGGTACCTGGCACATGGCTGAATGAATGCATGATATACCTGCCACGTGTGGCTTCCTTGAAAGTCTAGTCTTGTGCCTGCTTGCTTGGGGAAATGGAGGCATCATGGTGGCTCCTTCCCTCAAGAAACACAAGCCTGTCCACTACACTCTAAGACCAGGAAGAGGAACTGCCTACCTGGAGTCTGGTCCTGGGGACCTAGCACGGTGGCAGGTGATGAGGGTGGTGTGGTGCTTGGAACTCTTGAAACGATCCAGCTTGGCAGTCCAGAGGCTGGGCTGCGTCGGGCGGGCAGCTGTCACATGCAGTCCCTTCTTCACTTTGATCCTGGGGGACAGGGCACAAGTTGAGAATGTCTAAGTGGATGCCAAGCCATGGACTGGATCTGAAGGGGTAGACGAAGGACAGGGGACTGAAGACTCCAGCCTCCAGTCTCAATCTCCTCCTCACCAACCACTGCCCTGCTCTCAAAAGGAGCCCACCTCAACACATGTCATGCCGTACACTCTCCCACACTAAGACCACTTCGGACTCTCCACTGCACACTGGTCAAGCCTTAGCTTGGCATTCCAGACCCACCAGGTTCTGGTCCAGCCTCTTCTTTGACTCTCTCACATACTTTGTGCTTCAACTCCCCATGCACAGTGGCCATCCATGTCTCTAAGTCTTTGCTCAGGCCATGTTTTCTGCCCTGGTTTGCCCTTCCTTTGTTTATCAGCTTACCATCAATCCTCCAACCACTGCAATGCTGTTACCAGCTTGTCCTGGTTTTCTGTGGCAGGTGAAATTCCTTCATCCCAACCCCCACAGAAAATCCATTGTCCCTCCGTCCGAGCTCACAGACCTCTGTGTGTGCTGATCTTGTTCATGCCCACCCTGGGAGCTCCTTGGTGATGGACGGCGAATGAGCCTGTTCTCTTGGTATCTCCAGAGTGGAGACACAGGGCCTGGCATAGTCTAAGTGTCCAGGAAAGATCTGGCTAATGAGCGTGTAAGCAAGCATTGGAAGGAATCAGAGATGGGGAAGCCTGCCAAGCACCCACGACCATGAGATCCACAGGGATGAGACCTTCACAAATCCACAAACAGGAGAGGCAGTCACTTTCCTGTAGGGAGGAACAGGTATGACCACAGGGTACAGAGCTGGGGTGAGGGTGGCAAGCCGAGCACATGAGCCTGAATGAGACTGAAGTAGATATCCCCAGAGCACTAGCCTCTCTCCCTCCCCAACAGGAACTTCTCTGTCCAGTTTCCAAGCCTCCAGGACATTAGCCCGGTTGGACAAAGATGAATCAGTGAGGGATCTGGAAAGCTTGAGAGTGGACAACAATTGGTCTCTATTCACCTGGAACAGCAAAGGAGACCAAGAAGTCAGAGAAGGAACTGGACTGTAAGCTTAACTGCTTCCATCAACCACCACCCATGAGGCCACCGGCTACCATTACTGAATGTCAAGCTCTTACAGAATCCAGACTTACTAGACTTGTAGAACCCAGTCCTCCGAGAAAACCTTCAAACCATGAACCCAAATCAGTCTCTAAAACATCTTTAAACACATGTAGCTACATTAGTAAGGAAGGTTTACCAGGACCACTGGCCTTGTTTGAGGAAATTTATCTATATGAGATCAAACGGTCCACAGTAACTAAAGGAGAGACTAGCTGCTTGGAGGGCAGTGAGTCTAAGACAAGGCTGGTGAAGCAATATGGAAAGAGACAGGGAAGATGGAGACACAGTAAAGAATGGAGACAATGTTGCTGAAATGCACATGTAGAAATTGACGAGTGGGTGTGTGTTCTGCTGTGTAGATTTTCCAGAAAGAAAGGTGTCTCAGATCTGAGAAGGGTCAGGGAGAAGGGCTTCCCTACTTCTAACTCCAAGTTCAAGGTTGTGCCCATTACTGCTGGTGCCAACTGCCATGGTGATCAGCAGCTCTGTATCTGCAGGGAACTTGGTGGGCAGGTGTTTTTGCGGAAGTTTAGGGTTCCAACAGCCAGCATCTCTGTCATCCTGTTGGGGTTCCTGCCCTCACTCCCCCAAATCCGGGGCCCAGTGCTCACCGCAGGCTCAGGAGGCTGGCTGTGAAGTTGTGCCGAAGGAGAAGGGTGGCACTGAAGGTCTGGCCGGGCCGCACAGGTATGTCGGGCACCCGCAGAGTCACGGCTTCATCCAAGGGCACCTCCTGGTATTTCGGGGGGTCTACCGACCGCAGCTCCACATTTCCCACTGGGAGGGCCTGCTTCCCGGGGTCGTCTTCCCTGCCAGGGCCACAGCCACCAGGACCATCGGTTGCAGGCTCCAGCGTGTAGGCCAGCTCGGCCCGTGTGGTGGAGGTCTGGGAGAACCAATGCGAGGGGAGCGCCAGCTCCACCACACAGGCGCCCAGGGATGGCTGAGGAGACAGGGGAGGTCCTAGTTGGCATGGGGAGCAGAGGACACCCAGTGCTCGAGTCAGGGGACCAGAGCTGGAGGGAAAGACGGGGCCAGCATGGTCCATGTTACATGGCTCATGTAATGACATGGAATACATGCAGGGAACGATCTCATTCCAACTCCAATGCCACACTCTAAAGATGGCCCAGAACAGCCCTGACAACAACATGGGCCATTGAGTCACTTCCCATTCACGGCCACCCCAAGTGTGCAGGGTAGCACTGCTCCGTAGGGCTTTCAAGGCTGTGACCTTTCAGATGCCCATTGCCAGACCTTTGTTCTGAGGTACCACTAGGTGACTCCCAACTACCAAGCTTTTGGTTAGTAGTCTAGCGCTTAACCACTGATGCCACATGGGGACTCCCTCAGAATCTCAAAGCCCACAAGAGCACTCTCTCCATGACATTCCAGGACTGGTGGTGGTAGTGATGGTGGTGATGTGCCATGGAGTCGGTTCCAACTCATAGTGACCCTGCACAGGGTTTCTGAGGCTGTAAACCTTTACAGGAGCAGAAAGCCTCATCTTTCTCTGTGGAACAGCTGGTAGTTTCGAACTGTGGACCTTGAGGCTAGTAGCCCAACTCGTAACCACTACGCTACCAGAGCTCCTTGGATTCCAGGACAAGACTCTAAGAATGAAGACAGCAATTCAGAAAATCACAGCAGCTACGACACACACGTGTGGAGTGATTGTTGTATGGTAAGTGCTGTTCCTACATCGCCTCACGCACTTTTTACTCCAACCCCAGATGTTAGCACTTCATTCCACAGATGGGGAGACAGAGGCTTAGAGAGATTGAATTATTTGCCCTAAATTCAGCAAGGGACTGAACCCCATAAAACCAAAACCAAATCCACTGCTGACTAGTTGACTCTGGCTCCCACAGGATAGCAGAGCTGTTCTAGATCATTTCTAAGGCTGGGAAGCTTCTGTATGGAAGCAGATGGCTCCATGTTTCTCCTGTGGAGCAGCTGATGGTTTTGAACCACTGACCTTCTGGCCCTAAATAACCCTTTCCTGGCCCCTGTGAAAGCTCTCAAAACCGAGACTTCCCTGTTAGGTTGAACCCTGATCTCCCACCCTGGGTGCTTGATGCCTCTCTATGGCTTCAACACTCACCTGGAAGCGGCAGGCACGGTGAGCAGTGCCCGCAGGGTGTGTGGCATGGAGCCGGGCACAGGGCAGGCTGCCAGGACCCGGCGGCCAATCCTGCCCTTTGAGATGGAAAAGGACTCGGGCATGGGGCTCTGTCGGAGTCACGGCTGCTTCCACTGACACGGCCCGTACGTCCCATGGGACGGGCCGCTGGTGGGGCTCAGTGACCCGGGGAGGAACCACCTAGAGGGAGAACAGGGAAGTAGGAGCTGGTTTCCAGTCTCTCAGGAGAGACCCTGTGTGGGCCTTAGTTTCCCCCACTGAGCCACACACAGCACACCTCAGGCTCTGAGTCCATTAGTCTGGGAGGCCCTGTACCCATTCCTTACCTGCTGAGTGGCAAAGGGCGGGTAGGATGCCCGGAGCAGTGGCTGGGCCCTGGGCCAGGGCTCCAGGAGCAGAAACGTCTCAGATCGGGAACCCAGTGAGGAGTTAGCCGGCGGATATCGGCCCACTTGCTGCACACGGAAGTGCTCGGGGGCATCTAGGAGCTCCAGGGCCGCCGGCAGGTAGACGGGGTCCAGGGAGTCCTGGCCACAGCCCACTGGAGAGGCAGAAGGGGCAAGGATGGTGACAACTCTGCCAGGGGCTGAACTGGACCTCATTCTGTGGGCATCACTCATTTCACAGAAGGAAAAAAACTGACCGCAAGAGCCCCCCTCAAGCAGCAGGTTCCCGAGGGAAAATGAGAATCTGATCTGGACTCAGTCCATTATTGCTGGATGCCAGCTTCCAGTCCATTCCTCCCTCCAGAACTTCCTCAATGCCCCTCATTCTCTATTCCTGTCCCCGGCCTACATACCTCTGATATCACTATGGCATTTTGTGGGGTACGACTCTCCCCAAACTGAATCTGTGAGGTAAAGAACCATGAAGAGATGAACTCTGTTGAAGTGGAGACACTCCCTCAGACCCTGGGTCCTTGGACAGCCTTGGCAGGACAGTCCAGTCATTGCCATGGCAATCCTAGGCCACCTACCTAAGCTTGCTCCCTTTTGCCCTCTCCTAACTGGGGCTTGAAGTACAAGTCTGCTATGGGCGGGATGCGTAAGGGATTATGTTGAAATGGTCTGAGAAGTCGCCTGAATGCCCGAGAAGCGGGATGAGGAGCAAGAACCTGGGGGCCAAAAGACCACTTAGGCCATATTTGATTGGGTAAACTGAGTACTACTGTTGTTCAATCCTGTGGAATCAATTGTAACATACAGTAACCCCATGTAGCAAAGTATTCTTGGCTGTAATACCTATCCAGGCCTTTCTCCCCCAGAGCCACTTGGGTGGGTTTGAACTGCCAACCTTTCAGTAGGCAGCTGAGAGCTTAACTGTTATGCCATGAAAAAAACTAAACCAATCCCACTGCCGCGGAGTCGACTTATAACGACCCTGTATTATAGGGTTCCCGAGGCTGTAAATCTTAATGGGAGTAGAAAGCCTCATCTTTCTCCTGAAGTGCAGCTAATGACCTTGCAGTTAACGGTCCAGTGCTAATCCTTCAGCCCCACCCTAACTCCTTTTCTGCCACCAGATCTCCTTAACTGACAAGTGGCTAGTCTTAACAATCATAACGAGCATTGTTGTGAACACTTAACTTGGGCAGAGTACTCATTTACACATTTGACACACACTCTTTCCTTTTTTTAACTCTATGCACTGTTGTAGTGAGATGTTGCGGAGTTGGTTCCGACTCAGAAACCCTATGTACAACCAAAGGAAGCAATTCCTTCTCCTACACCATTCTCATCTTCACTGTGTGGGAGTCACTGTTAGAACCACTCTGTCAATCCATCTTGCTGAGGTCTTCCTCTTTTTCACTGGTCCTCTACTTTACCAAGCAGGATGCCCTTGTGCAAGGGACTAGTCCCTCTGATGACATGCTCAAAGTACATACACGAGACAGTCTCACCAGTCTCAATTCTAAGGAACATGCTGGCTGTACTTTATCCAACAGAGATTCGTTGTCCTTATGGTGGTCCGTGCTATATCCAATATTCTTCATCAACACTATAAATCAAAAGCATCAGTTCTTCTTTGGATAATACATCAATTCATTTCTTCCCTATTACTTCCATGGACACTGATTTATAGATCCAAGAAAAATGAACTCTTCTTGACAACTTCAAGATTTTCTCTGTTTATCATGTTGTTTATTATTCTAGATTTGGTTTTTGTTTTTTTTACATGGAGTCATAATTCGTACTGAAGGATGTAGTCTTTGATCTTCATCAGTAAGTGCTTCAAGTCTTCTACTTTCAGTAAGCAAGATTGTATCACCTGCATATCACAGGTTGTTGATGAATCCTCCTTCAATCCTGATGTCATGTCCTTCTTCAACCTCTCAGATTACCTGCTCAACATACCAGATTGAATAAAGGATGCTGAAAGGATACCACCATGAGCACACCTGTCCTGATTTTAAATCATGCAGCATCCCCTTCTTTGGTTCTAATGACTGCCTCTTGGTCTATGTACAGGTTCCACCTGAGCACAATTAAGTGTTCTGGAATGCCCATTCTTAGTATTGTTAACCATAGCTGGCCATGATCCACACAGTCTAATGCCTTTACATAATCATAGGTAAACATCTTTCTGGTATCTCCTATTTTCAGCAAGATCCATCTGACATTAGCAATATCCCTTGTTCTATACCCTCTTCTGAATTCAGCTTGAATTTCTAGCAGTTTCCTATCCATGTACTGCTGCAACCATTTTTTTAAATTATCTTCAGCAAAATTTTACTGTCAGTGATGATAATAGCCATACACATACAGAGAAAACCAGTTAATGTAACTATTATGCAATTCTATGCAACAACCATTAGTGCCAAAGATGAAAAAATTTAAGTTTTCACTAACTTCTGCAGTCTGAAATTGATCAAATTTGTAATTAAGATGCACTGACAATTACTGGTGATTGAAATGTGAAAGTTGGAAACACAGAAAAAGATCAGTAGTTGGAAAATATGTCTTTGGTGATCTAAACGGTGCCAGAGATCACATGACAGAATGTTGCAAGACCAACAAGCTAATGACCTATTCATTGGGAGTATCTCTTTTTCAACAATATAAACGGCACATGAACCTTGCCAGATGGACTACAGAGGACTCAAGTTAGTTGACTATATCTGTGGAAAGAGATGATGGGTAAGTTCAATATCATCAGTCAGAACAAGGCCAGCGGCTGACTGTGGAACAGACCATCAATGGCTCACATACAAGTACAAGATGAAGCTGAAAAAAATTACAACAAATCTGCATCAACGAAAGTACAACCTTGAGGATATTCCACCTAAATTTAGAGACCAGTTCAAGAATAGATTTGATACATTAAATACAAAGACCGAAGACCAAAGGAGTTGTGGGAATACATCAAGGATATCATACTTGAAGAAAGTAAAGGTTATCAAAAAGACAAGAAAGAAAGACTAAATTGGATGTCAAAAGATTCTGAGGCTTCTTCTTGAATATCGAGTAGCTAAAGCAAAGGGAACTCTATAGAGTAGTTTCCACTCTGACGAACACCATTTTATGAACAGGAGGCAGAGAGATTAAGGTACTGACTTAAGGCTCCACAGCTAGACTGTGGTGAAGCCAGTGGCAGATTCCAGGCATTAACCACTCATATACCCTGCTTCTCTCTCCTCCCTACACTGTTGAAATAGTAAGCCTGCAGGCTCCACTCCTCAGTGTCAGCCTCCCACCTTCTTCAGTTCAGGGACAACGAATGTTGCCTCCTCCTCAAGGAAGTCCTCCTTGACTGCTCTCCCTCCAGTGCACCTCCTGGTTGCTTCCTGTGAGTTAGTCATCTTCCTGTCTATCAGCCAGTCCTGTCTGCATCAATCCAGAATTCCTCTGAATAACAGTCACCCCTGGAGGAGACATCTGGGAAGTCTGCAGAGCTGGGTCCCTGTCCAGTGAAACTTGATACCTCTGCACCACCTGAGGAGCACTTAGTGACACTGGAAAAGGGGCAGGCAGCAGGGGCTGGGTGGTGGTGGAGGGGAGGCATTGTAACTGCGGCATAATGGATGTGACAAGACTCTCCAATTATTAGGGCTCCTGCCTGGTCCCTCAAGGAGGGGAGCAGGTGGCTGAAAGCCGCCTGGGAGCCCACTTTATCTCAGCCCCTCACTCAGGGGCTGGAGGTGGGAGGGGGTCTGGATAGCTGCATCCTCCTTCACAGCCCTCCCCACCAGGGAGCATGTGTGTCAGACATCTCTGCCAGTCCCAAGTGTAACAGGTGAGTGACTACCACTCCCTGAAGTTGGCCCTTGGCCTTGGGTCCTCCTCCCACTCCATTCCCTGATAATTACAGGGTGTTCTGTGACCAGGATGCCATGGGCTCCCAGAGAGGAATGCTGAGGAGGTGGGGTGCTTCAGTATGCCCCACTCTTTTCCTGTGGCGCCTCTGGTGCCACGACAGGGGGCACCATGCAGTCACTGCCCCTTTCCTAGGGATGGGGCAATCCCTGGAGACTCCAAGGTGGTAGGGGGTGGAGCTGGGGAGCTAGTTATCTTGCAGATCTCAGGCAAAGGGTCAAGCTCTCCTTCCCCAAGGAAGTGGGCATGACAAGGAGGCAAGGAGGCCCTGAAGTGCTGCTCTATGGACGGCAGATGAGGGAGGGAGGACGCTGCCAGGTTAGATGCCAGGGTGGAGGGGAAGCTACTAGAAGGAGCGGGAGTAGGGGCGTGGGAGGTCCCGGCTGAGCTGGTCCAGGGCCAGGTAGGAGTTGCCCGGTTGTAGAAAGTGAGGGAAGAGCCCTGGTGGCGCAGTGGTTAAGCCCTCCGCTGCTAACCAAAAAAATCGGCAATTCTAATCCACCAGAAGCTCCGCGCGAGAAAGAGGTGGCAATCTGTTTCCAAAGGATTACAACCTTGGGAACCCTCCAAGGCAGTTTTACTGTTCTACAAGGTCGCTCTGAGGCAATGGACTTTTTTTGTTTTGTGGTTTGGTTTGGTACAAGGTGCGGAAAGCTGGAGGGGCGCGCGCCCCAGGACAGGATCCCCGGGGTCAGACCTCCCTGGCCTTCGGCCCTCAGCGCACTCTGGCGCGCGTCCCGACTCTTAGTTTAGTTCGAGCACCCGGAGGACCCGGCTCACGGGCATCGCTCCCGCCCGGCCCCGCCCCCGTTCCCGCTGACCTCTCACGACGTCCAGGGCCAGGGCCACCAGGAGCCTGAGCCAGGGGCCGCAGGGCCCCCCGGGGGCCGCTGCCGCGCACCCCGCCACCCGGGCGCACATCCTCCGATGGAAAGCGGCAGACTAGGCTGGAGGCTCAGGTGGCCGCAGTCCGGCCCGGCATCTCCCGCACCCACTCCGTGCCGCCCGACCCAGCCGGCAGCTCCCACCACCGCCCGCCGCCCCGCGGCCGCAGTTCGCAGACAATGGAGCGGGCGCGAGGGTGGGAGGGAGACGTGCGGCACACGGGCTGCCCCTCCGCTCGCCAGCCCGCCGGGTCCTAGTGCCCTTCAGATCCGAAAACCAGAGCGGCCCCGCGCCAGAAGTCAGCAAGGAGGCCGCTGCTCTGGACTGACCTCACTAGAGGCTGGCCCGCTTCTGCCAAAAGGGTCTCACTTTAGGAAACTCCAGGCCACGGAGGGAAAAGCCACTTTCTCTTCCTTCTTCCCGCCCCCAAGTAGCTCATCTGTAAAGGCATCTGACACCTGAATCAGACCAGAATTCCAGAACACAGGACCCAGTTGTCAACCACCTGGGCCTGCCCTGACAGAGCCTTGGGCCACCCCGTGTATGAAAGACGACTTCAGAAGCAGGCAACTCCAGTTTCATCACGCCCAACACCACTCCAGGGAGAGGCCTGTGGGTCTGGGAAGGGCGAGGCCTGGCTCAGGGGTCCCAGCCCTGCCTGTCAGGAAGTGTTGGGTGAGGTAGTGTTAGGCAAGGAACTAGCTGCACGTTTATCCCCTGGGCAGCCTAAACAGAAAAAAATCCAACCCATGGGTCCAGTTGAGAACTAAGGTGCAGGCGCAGCTAGACCTGCGGGGGAGGAGACAAGCTGGTGCACCCTGGGAGGTTTGAGTTAAAACCAAATGCTAATCTGGCTTCTGAGTGTGCCTCAAAGGCAGAGGGAGAGCAGCAGGGCAGACTGGTCTGTTTCTGGCCAATGGCCAGCTCCTCTCCCTTCTTCCCCTACTATTCCAACAGTTCAGGCTGGATCCTGGGAGATCTGTGGTGGGGGCATGCCTTCCTCAAGCCCCATCTTCCAGCGGGGAGGGTCCCTGGGACCAGTCTGTCTGCCTGCTCCCTCCCTCTACTGGAGTCACACTGCCCCTAGAGGCAGAAGGCGGCAGGGCAGCCCTGCCAAAAAGGGTTTAGCAAGAGAGGGAGAAATCAAAGCACGCCAGACTTTAAGTAAACAGATTTTATACGGAACAAGATAATAAAATAGTAGCGTGCACTTTATTTAAAACTGACCAAGCGCTGATAAAAATATATATCATTGCAACTGTGATTCCATGTCAAACCGTAACAGTGAGAATTGAGCATTTATTCTTCAGTCTTCAGGGAGGAAGCGGCCCCTGAACACCAAGAACAAGAGCCTAGTACAGAGGGTCAGCCAGCAAGCCTCCCTGCCCCCACAGAGCACAGGAAGGGAAGAGGGCCATCCTGGGGGGCAGTGAATGGAGGGAGAAGCCTGAGGATCGTCTAGACTGTGCAGACAAGAGGGTCCTCCTTCCAGCTTCATGGGCTCTGAATCCCCCCAGGGGACCTAGTGGCCTCGGCAGGCTCCTACTTGCACCAACCCTCTTTGGCTTTGGCGGAAGGGGAATCAAGATTGTGAGCCAGCTGCTCTTCTTAACCCAGAGCAGCCCCAGTCCACAGAAGACCAGAGGGCGCAGCTGGCTGGGATTAAGGCACTTATAACAGACTCAAGGTAGGTCCTCACCCCCAAGCCCACACTGAACTCCACCAACAGGCCACACTGCTCCAGCAGTGAAGAGGATGGGCCTGCCTCCAGGGACTGCCATTTGGTTGGAGTCCAGGGCTAGAAGGAGGAGGAAACCAGGAAGGGAGCAGGCAGCTTGGCAGGGGAGGAGCACCAGGACAGGCGGCAGGAGGGGGAAGGCAGCAGCAGGGGAGCCCCTCCAACCCGCCCTGGCTGGGACAGGCATGAAGCGCACCAAGGATGAAAAGAACCAACCTAGACAGTGCGCCTCAGGAGACAGGGTCCCCTGGGGCAGAAGCAGAGGTTCTAGGGGTTTGGAGACAGGGGGCTGGGAGACGCTGCACAATTCAGAAGCAGCTCAGCTCTTTGGTAGGACACAGGCGACACTGCAGGGCATCCTCTTCACTCCTCCTCCACGCTCCGGGGCCCCTTGGCCACACGCCTCTGACGCCAGCGCAGCTCTTCCACCTGGCGTTGCAACCCCTGCACCTTGGCTTCCAGCCTGGCCCCAGAGGCCCGGGTGCCGGTGAGACGGCTCACGAAGGCATACAGGGTCAGCAGGGCCAGAAGCAGCAGGGCCCTGGTGGACGGGTCAGGCACCGATCTCACCAAGGCCACAAAGCCGGCCAGGAAGATGACGAGCTTCAGGCCCCAAAGAATGCGCCCCAGCAGGGCCAAAACCACGCCAAGGACCAGGGACAGCAGCCAGTAGACGACCAGGGCCCCGGCTCCCCAGAGCAGGAAGGTCTGCACCTGGCTGGGGCTGAGCTTCAGGCACTGTGTAAGCTGATCACCTAAAAGGAAAGAGAATCACCATGTCAGCCAACCTGGAGAGGTGCTGAGGAGAAGGGGGGCGAGAAGCAAATGGAGGGGAGGCCCTGCCCCCCTCCCCCCCCAGACTCAGATACATGGGTCTGAATCTCTGCTCCATTTCCATTGGCTGTGAAGTCTTGGTTAGAAGACAACCCTTGTGAGTCTCCCTTTCATCCATTACATGGGACCATTCTTTGTACCTCACTGGATTGTGATTTAATAATGAGATCCTTCCTTCAGTTTCACATGGTGATTACTGAGAAGCCAAGTCCTGACTTAGAAATATAAACCAACACCACTGCCATTGAGTCCATTCCCACCCATGGTGAGCCTGTGCCTTACAGAGGAGAACTGCTCCATAGGGTTGTCTTGGCTGTCATCTCTACAGGAGCAGACTGCCAGCTCTTTCTTCCATAGCACCCGGGTGGGTATGAACGCCAGCCATTAAGATAGCAGCTGCGAGCAGCTTGTTTGTGTCACCCAGAGGCCTAAATACCTTGTTGTTGCTAAGTGCTGTGGAGTCAGTTCCAACCCATAGAGACCCTTGTATAGGGTTTCCACGAAGCGGCTAGTGAGCTTGAACTGCCAACCTTGTGGTTCAAACAGACTTTGTAGTTTAGCGCATTAGCCCACAGAGCCACACTGGATGGTAATTACAGGCTGCTCTTAGGCCACACCTCCAGGGGGAGCTGGGAAATATCAAGTGGCTTGGAAAGGTCTTGGCTCTGATGGAGATTAACTCCCTCAAGCAGAAGTCACGGGTCAAACTCTGGGCAACACGACCAGGACTCTGTTACTCACCGTCTGCTCCCAGGGCATTCAGGAGTTGTGCGGCGATCCCAGACAGAGCAAAGAAGGCCACAGAGATGGCTGAGGAGATGGCCCACATCACCTGAGAACAGGTCTGCAGAAAGAACGAGAAGCTGTAAGTATCAATGCACCTCTCCTCCCATCCCAAGCACTGCCGCTGGACAAGGCTGGCAGGAATGTTCCTGGCCTGTTTCTCAGCCAGGGGGGATGAGCCTCGAGCCCGCCACATCGGCTTACAGAGCCCATGATGGATGGCAGGTCACTACTCCTTCCTAAACGGGAAGCCAGGACATCTGGGGTCTAACTCAGGAGACTTTGGTGGTGAGGCTACAAGCACATAGGGTTAGGGTGGAGGGGCATCATCAAATCGCTTTAGTGGTCATCCTGTAAATATGGGGTGCTCCTAGCCTCCAGGAGAATCATGACAAGGTGGGAAATGGCTGTAAGGGGCTAGGACTCGTCCGTGAAAAGCAACCATCAGCTGTCCTACACTACAGACTTTCTCAACGATTTGTCTTAGTCTGCCAGGATGGCCAGGCAGAGCACAGAGCACCGTCCCTGGGATATCAGCAGGTAGAAGACACAGCTCCGGTCTTAAGAGTCCATCCCCCCAACACACACCCTCCTAGCTGAAGGAAATGATTCTGGTCTTTATATCTGATAACCTAAGACCAGAGCCAGACACTCCAATCACCCAGGACCTGAGTTTATAAAGGTGGCTCATTCCCCAGTCTTTCTGGGGAAGAAAGAGCAGGATCGGGTGGAAGATGGTGATGGAGCTGGAAGGCTCTGGGGGAGGAATCAGCAGGGACCACCTGGCTTCTGTGTGTGCCTTCTGGGCCCATCTGCACTAGGGTCTGTGACACAGAGAGCATGTGGAGCCTAGACAGGCTGCCCAGGAGCAATTACTGTCTCTTCCTTCCTCTTCTTACCTGCGATCACGGGGTCTCTGCCTTACCTCCGCCACCAGGTGCATGTTCTCTGGCCCAATCCAGGCATCCAGGGTCCTTCGCACTGATCGGCCTATCTGGGTCAGAAGATCCACCGGGGCCTCCCTCTTTTGGGTGCCAGGGGGTGCAAAGTCTCGATGGGACTGGGATGATGCTGATTGAAGGAGGACGAAGACCACTAGGATCATCAGGATGGCTTTGAACAGATGCTTGCGCCATGAACGACTGTTGCCTGAGCCTGCCATGGCTGGGTCTGCCAGGAGAGAAGCCCAGGGTGAACAGGGAGCCTGGGAGAAACCCACTCTCCAAGCTAGGAGCTGTCCAACACCCTCTTCTACCCAACCCCCAGGAAGCCAGAAAGAAAGAGCTGTTAGGTGACAGACAGAAAACTGGGACGTTCAACTGGGACTGGGCACAACCATCTGATTCAAGGGCTATGCTTTTACTTCCCAGACCACTCGCATATTAATTAGCCAGCACACATTCTGCAAGGCCTTAGGGGTGAAGGGACAAGAAGGTCTCTCTAAGGTTGATTCCAGTTCTGGGAATTCAATGACCTATTTCTTAGGTGCTATAAGCATAAAAGACGTATAAGACTGTACAGCTCCATCCCCGAGAAGCGTCTAATCTACTTAGGATAAAGCTGATACAAAAACAGTGCACATAGAATGACCATCAGAGAACTTCGCACAGAAAGAAACATGCTCAATTAGGTGCACCAGCAAGAATAATAGTTGTACATGTGCAATTGGCTCTGCAGGACCACTAGGTGAGGGGTGACCCTCCATGCCCCCAGCCATACAGATGAAAAGAAAAGGAGGCGAAGTGGAGTGGTCAGAACTTGAACCCAGACTTTCTAAGTTCGACACTCACTGAGAACCAAGGACCGACAGTGATTCTCTGCCATGGCTCCTCGCCAGAATCTCCTGGGAGCTGCAGAGCACGCATAAGGTACCAATGCCCAGCTCCTAAGCCCAGGGCTTTTAGTGTCACTGTCTGGGGATGGCCTCCGCACAGAACTTTCAAAGTTCCCCTCGGCATAAAGTAGAGACCCTCAGATATTGGATGATCATACCCCAAGTAGACAAAGGGTTAAAGACAACCCTTTAATAAAAAGCGAACATTTAGCTAGGTCTTCTCATACACAAGAAACCCTGATGGTGCTGTGGGTTAAGCGATGGGCTGCTAACCATAAGGTTGGTGGTTCAAACCCACTAGCTGCTCTGAGGGAGCAAGATGAGGCTGTCCACTCTCGTAAAGATTTGCAGTCTCAGAAACCCTATATAGGGGTCATTATGAGTCAGATCAAGTTGATTACAGTGGATTTGGGGGTTTTTTTGTTTTGTTTTTGTCCTGCAGCAAGAAGTCTTGTGGTACAGTGGCTGAAGAGCTCACCTACTAACTGCAAGGTCATTGGTTCAAACTCACCAATGCTCCACAGGAGAGAACTGTGGCGGTCTGCATCCATAAAGATTTATAGCTTGGCAGCCTGTGAGGCAGTTCTACTCTGTCCTGTTGGGTCACTAGAAGTCAGAGCTCACTCGAAGACAGTGGGTTTGATGTCTTGCAGCCACCGTAGCCTTTAACTGTCTCTACAGCCTATCAAGCGGGGATTGTTATTATTGAAACTAGGATTTGAACCCAGGCACATCTACTACAGAACCCAAGCACACAACAACTTGGCCGTATCGCTTCAACTCAAGTCTCAGAGGGATTTAGAAAAGCAGACAACTGGTTATTCATGAGCTAAAATAAACTTGGTATCTACCAATCACCTCAGAGAATTCCTGGTGAAAATTCACCAAACCGCTTTGTGCTCTGAACTTGTTTGTAATATGATGCTATGGGCAAGTTAAGACCCAACAGGTACCTACTCAATGAAACAGCTGAGGATCAGTCAAGAAAAATGTTTATAAATCCACCTTTTATTTGCCACCATACTTGAGAAATGTCAAACAGTACCAGCAAATCCCTCTTCCTCTCCCAGGCTTAGAAACCAACCTGTAGCTCCAGGGAGTTTCCATGATTCAGACCAGGTGATGGGATGTTAAGCCATGGCCCTGAGCTAAAAGCAGCCAGGCTTTTGAAGCTTTTGCAGTTACCATGGCACTCGGGAGCTGACCAGAAATACAAAGCCATCAGGATAGACAGGGAAGAGAAGTGGTTTCCTACTTCTGCTTAGTGGGAAAGTCCAAGACAGGGTTCTAAAAATACTACATTTAGGGGCACTTCTGGTCTAGAAACAGCGGCTCAAAGCCCCTCCTGAGGGTCAGAGGATCAACCAGGGCTGCATTTCATGCGAAAGGACATCAGGCTGATGAAACCTTCTACTCTCTGTGGCACAAACCAAGAACCAGATGGTTCCTGTCAGCTGGTGTTTGCAGAAGAGAAAAGTGCGGGTCAGGTCCTGAGTTATCTGGGTCATAGCCACATTGGGGACTTAAAGAACAGGGTTTCTATCTTGGGTTGGATCCTATATCCAAAGACTTCCACCAGGAGGGGATCAGATGTCGTCTCCACTAGAAGGTCAAGTGACATGCTCCCCCATGGCCACATGCTACTTTCTGGACCAGACTCAATTCTCAAGGAGCCATTGGCCCTGGTCGAGGAGAGCCAGGGACATGGGAATAAATCTTCCACCTCGAGGCCAGCATCTGAGGTCCACCAGAACCCACAACCTAACAGAATGCTGCTGACTGGCTGCTCTGTCTCTTGACACGTTTCGAACAGGGTTCCTTCTAGTTTGCTCTAGGCTGATCCCAGGCAGTAAGGATCTGTCCCACCTACAGTCCACCTCCTTCTTGCTTTGACCGAGGCAGTCAAGAGCCAAAACAGTTGTCATCTCTGAGAGGAGAGTTGTTGTTGTTGTTAAGTACCATGGAGTCAGTTCCAACCCTGCACAGGGTTTCTGAGGCTGTAAATCTTTACTGGTGCAGAACACCTCATCTTTCTCCCGCGGAAACACTGGTAGTTTTAAACTGCTGACCTTGAGGTTGGCAGTCCAACTCTTAATCACTACGCTACCAGAGCTCCTTCTCAGAGGAGAGAGTAGTCTTAAATCTTCTCTCAGACTAACAGCAGGCCCTCAGCAACAAAAAGAAACATTCTGTGAATCTATGTGTGATGCTTTACAAATACTTCTTATATCTCCAGCTCATCGAATGCTTAATAACAGTCTTGATTCTCCTCCCTCTTACTCAGAAAACTATGGCTTGGCGAGGTCAAGTGACCTGTCCAAGACCACATAACAGAACCGGGCCTTGCTTTCCAAATCCAGGATCCAAATCTTGCCCTTTTGCTCTTTGCACACCCCCACACTGGCTTCCTGAAAGCATCAAGACTGTTACAGCACAAAACAAGTCTCCCCTATATGGTCTCTGTCCTCAAGGAACTCATTAACATTCTGCCAAATATTAACAAGCTCAAAGCAGGGGGACATCCAGACTCCCAGGAGGAGACAACATACTAGAGGATGGCCCAGCAGCTAGGCTTTCTAGTCATGGCTTTGTATCAAGACGCATAAGAGGACAGCAAAAAAAAAAATGGGGACAAGATTAGCCACTTCTACTAAGGCTGCTGCGATGTGGCTCATGCTGGCCCAGAAGAACCTGGCTGGTCGGGGAAAACTGCTTCGCATTCGAGGGTGGGGAAAAGGCCTAGATGTTCATCTGTGTTAGCCAAGACAATAGGGTGGGGCACTCTTCCCCACCCAGTGCCAAGGCTCTTCCTCCTCTGGTAGGTGGTTAAGTTTCCTTTCACTCAATTCACTATGGAGTAGGCAGGAGGTGGTGCTAACTTGGTGTCCTCTGCTGGCACCCATTTCCCCATCCACTGTTCATAGCCACCTTGAGGGAGCTGTAGACCTCAATTCTGGATGCCCATCAGAATTGCCCATGGACCCAAGTCTGGGTGTCTGCCCCACCCTCCCAGAGGAGGATGAGAGGGCTTCTGTCTTCTTTAAAGCTCCACAGGATTTTTGATGCTTAGCTGTTAAGTGCCACTGAGTCAGTTTCGACTCATGGACTTTGCATAGGGTTTCCAAAGAGCAGCTGGTGACTTTGACAGTTGCAAACACACAGCTGTGAAATCTCCTTCAGGCAAAGCCCAAGCAGTGTAGCATTATACCCAGGACTCTAGATTTCCACCCAGGACTCAGTTCTGCCACCGGCTGAGCCACCACTCAGGCTAGCTGCCTAACGGGTCTTCTCAAATGTCTTAACAGAGTTGTTTGCAAGGAGTTAAGATGTTTCTACAAGAACTTAGTAAACTGCCAACACCTACAGAAATATTACAGTGCCCTTTCCCCCTCAACTGCTAATATGAAACTCCTTACATTATAGCATCATTTAGCACACCTGTCTCCTCTGGGCCAGACTTGCCATCTTACTGATTTTAAAATTCCAGCCCCTAGCAGCACAGAACGAGGACTACTATGTATTGTTAAATGAATACTGGCGGCATGCCAGGAACCTGTGCGTGTAGAAATGTTGAGAGATGACGATGACGAGGTGGCGGGGGTGTGGGGGTGTTTTAAGCGCTGTTGCAGCGCCCACCCCCACCCCCTCGCCAGGAAGCTCCCGGCGGCTAGGAGAATAAAGTCAGCCCCTGGGCAGTCCAGAAGCGGCCCCGCTAAGTCTCTCTCAGCTGCTGCCCAGCAACTGTTTGGGGGCTGGGCGTCGGCGAAAGGGCAGCCACCCAGCCGCGCCCTCCCCAGCGCCCAGCCTCCTCCAGACAGGGTGTCAGTGGCATGTGCTATTTCCAATAGTGCGTCCCCTGCCAAACTCTGCTGGGTGGCGTCGCTGAAAGGGACGAGACGCGAGCCGGGGGCTCGGGGTACGTCGAGGGGCTGCACCAGAGGCCGCGCGAAGCTGGGCCGCGGGCAGAGGTCGGCGCAAGGGGTTCGCGCTGGCTTCGTTCCCAGGTCAGGCGGCAGCCGCGCCTCCGCGGACCTGGGAGCAGCACTCGTAACACTCTTCTCCCCGGAAACGCTCGCCTCCCGCCTTATCTAGTAACGACGCCCGCTGTTGCATAGCAACGAGGATCCGGGTCCCAGTTTGGTTCCCGCGCCGCGCGCCGTCGGACCCCTCCCCACTCGGGCTCAGTAGGCCTTGCGGCCCCGCCCTATCCCCGCCCGCGACGGCGGCTGCCTTCCCGCCCTACGCACTGTGCCCCCAGCGCCGGTCTTGGCTTGCACTCACCGGGCTCTGGTCACTGCTACTCTTTTCACGTGCGACTTCGCTAAACC